TGGTATGCAGTAACAAGTTTGAGATTTCGTGGCTCAGTGGGCAAGCTGTTAGCCTTGTGATGGTTCCTGCTCTGTGCGATGCTCTCGGCAGGTGGCTAGCCGTTCTACGGAGAGAGACTGAGCCATATAGGATAGAACCCGGTGCAATGAAATCGATCCTCTCCACTTAAACCTTTTTTTTTTTAGTGTTAATGCAATGAAGAAACAGGAGAGGTAGAGGATACTAGTCCCTTTAACGTAAACTGTTTATATTGGTGGGTATAATATAAACAGTTTACGTTATACTGATGACACTGTCTCGATAGCAAGAGGTCAGAAAGAACTACAGGAAATGATATACATTGTGGTGGTAGAAAGTGGAAGAATGGGCCTCAGTTTGAATAATGGGAAGACAAAAGTAATGGTGATATCTCCACACACACACACAAATTATTCCAAAATGTGTAATTTATTATAGTGTTATTTGGGACAAGTACAGAAATGTAAGTATCTTGGCACATGGATGACTGACTGACTGACTTTCTATCCCACTAGGACATCACACAAGCGATAAACACCCGATGACACAATGTGCCAGCATGTAGATGAGAATCACCGTGTGGAGGTCCCAGAAACCGCGTTCAGCCATTAGGCCATATTTATGGCTGGGCTATATTGCGGCCCCTGGCAAGAGCCAGAGCAGGGCTTCCAAAAGAAAAAAAAAACGAAAAATTTCATCCTAAAAAGGACGGGAAGTGAAACAGTAGGGCACATGGATAATATCAGATGGAAGATGCATTACTGAAATAAGAAACAGAATAGGACAGGCAAAAACTACATTTTATTAAATGAAATCCATCTTATGCAATATATCTCTGTCATTGAAGGTTAGAAAAAGAATTCTTGCTTGCTACATACATTCAGTTGTAACATATGGCTGTGAGTCCTGGATAATCAGTAGGCAGACCAAACAATTTCTTGAGGCTTCAGAGATGTGGTTTTACAGAAGAATGCTTAAATCCCGTGGACAGCCAAAAAAGAGCAACCAAGAGATTTTCGGCCATGTTATGAGAAGAGGAAAAATGGAACATGTTATGACCACTGGAAAGATCTGTGGAAGGAGGTATAGAGGAAGACAACAAGATAAGATTCTAGACAGTCTTGTTGCATGGCACAGAGGTGTGTCAGCACACGAACTGATACATGCCGCAGATCACAGATTGTGGAGACGCATGATCGCCACCCCAGTCAGCAAGGCACCTGATGATGATGAGTCTCTTTAACAACGAATTAAAGGATTACGCATTTAAGCCACACACACACACACACACACACACACACGCACATAAAACAGAATTTTAAATGTACTATTGTTTTTACCTTTTTATTGGCAGGAGTTTGTCATCCGTAACGGTTGATCCTTGTGTGCAGTTAATAAACAAAACTCCGTGTAGGCGGGAAGGTAGAGCCGTATGGCTGGCTGGTTTCAGTGATCGCCCGAGGGAGAAGGTAAACAATGACAGGTTCTGTTTGGTGTTAGCTGGGAACTAATTATGCAATCCATCGCATTCTTGTATCGTACTTCCTTTGGTGGTGATAAGATCGTTTCACGGACAAGGGGACAAAGAGGACGCTCACGTAACTATCCGAGAAATTAACCCTGTCAACAAATGCTGGATGAAGTCGGATGTGTCGGCTGAACGGATCAAATATCACAGTTTAAGCTGTAAACAGGCACAACGCATTCATGTCACTCAGACGAACGTTAAAAAAAAAAAAAAGCAGATCTGTCTTCCAACTTGTAATGTTTATTTTTACTGACAGTATGTTGGTAAGAAAACTAATAGACCCCCTCCACCCACCACAATATAACCAAGTATAGACATTTTCGGTCATGTTCACGTTTGTCGGCTCATTTACACACTGCTGACCTTTCATTCATATTTTCTCACACTCTTCTACGTCGGAGGGGCGTGACGTTGTCTTGCCTCCATCAGCACCAATGCTGCGTGTTCTATATTACACGACTTTCAACGACCCCAGAACATCTAGAGCTAACCCAAACCCTCATACCAATAGCCTCAACCTAGGTCACACGAGAGACTCTTTTCGAAGGAAGTAGTACAACGTGATACCCCTCTGACTCAGATCAGAATGAGAAAGTGTGTAGATGGGCCGGGAAACGTGAAGAGGTCCCACATTTTCTTTAAAACTAATTATACATTTCATATTATTTCTGGTATTCACCGTGCGGGTTCCGGGTTTCCCACTGAGGGGCCTCGAATGGGGGGGGGGGGGGGGGGGGAAGGTTGATCCACTGTTTTCCAATCAAGCATGTGTACAAGGCGACTATACTGAGATGTATCCTTCGAAGTCGCAGCGAATCTGCTTGGGAAATAACAAATAAATCACATATGTAAAACTAATGTGCACGCAAAATAAAGTACTAGAACAAGACCAGAGCCCGCAAGTAAGCGAATAAACCAAATTTTTCTACAGGAGTTTACATCCTTTGAAGACTCAGAAGATTTTACGTATATTGTTATATTTAGTTGCACAGTAATATTAATAACAATTAATAAATGCGCCAAATGACAAACACATATATTAATATACTTACTTGAAATAATATGAACTCTTCACTTTCTTCTAGTGTTGTCTCACTGACACCAGGTTGTAGCCCAGTGTCGAGGCTTTCTGTATTTGTCTTGGACTTCTTGGGTGGCTTGAACGATGGATTTGTTCATCTTTTTTGCAGGTTTCAGTTACACCATTCATCCATATCTTCATTGGTCTTCCTCCCAGATGTTCTACTGTAAAAAAAAAAAAAAGTCTCATATGCAGTGAAGAAACGATGTTTGAACAAATACTTTAAAGGATTATTTATTTTCATGGTTAAAGAGCGCATCTTAACATCCTTACCAAATTATTGGATGGGGACAGGGCGCTCAGCAACCTAACCCCTCCCTCCCCCAATTATTTGCCTAAAATATATATAGGATGGTGAGGCGGGCGTCATTCTTGGTGTCCCCCAAATGCTTCTTTACCTAAGTGGAAGTGCGGGGACGGGTATGAAGGGGTCTGAGCCCCCCCCCCCCAACTACCATATTTTTGCCAAGGAGGTGAGGAGGGCGTGGTTGAGAGCTAAAACAGAGCCCTCCCCAATGTTTTTTTTTTTTAAATTAGCGCCCCTCCTCCCGAATTAATAACTACAATTTCTGAAGCTGGCGACAGAGTGGTGGCGCTGAGGACCTCTCCCCCTCCATGTTAAATTGGTGGCGGCGCTCCTAATTCCAGAGTTAACTGTTGCCTACCTACAGATGCTATCTTCCCGCATGAATTGTTGTCGACTTTTTTGGTTGCCTACCTGTCGTGTTGTTTTCATAAGAGTATTTTATCTTTCCAAATGCAACATATTGTTTGAGTCGTCTCTATTTTATTACTTCCGTAAAGCCATTAAAAAAAATTACATTGCTTTCCTGGCTAATGGGTTGTTAGCTACATCTAGCTGTCTCGAACACGGACCCCCCGCCCCCCCCCCCCACAAAAAGGAATATCTGTGCACATTTATATTCCTTCCACCTATGGCGGTCCGATAACATAACCACTAAACTGACAAGATATCTTCATAGATACTGTACAGAAAAAATACAAGAGTCACGCTGAATGACCCCTGATCAATGAAAGGCATATGTTATGTTTTCTTTAAATACGGCATATAAATTCGGGAGACTAAAGAGTTCGTGAGCTGTGTTGAGACTCCTATATTGTGTGTTGGAAAGACTGGCGCACTCATTATGATATCGGTGTGTACCGAAGGTGATCCTTTACAAATATATCTATATAGCAAACATAATCGTCTCCTGTGAACGACTTTTGTATTGCCATGTAAACACTTGTCATATTAAAAAGTGGAACGAAATCAGCTGTAGAGTCGGTCTAATTAACATCTTTGTTGTAAACAACTGTAACATGTGTTCAGCAAACAGATGTAGAGAAATCTACTTCGACAGCAATGACTCATATCTTGTCTGCCCACGACTTCGCTTGGGCAAAATGGAAATGAGGAAACGTAGTGACCCCAGGAAATAGATGGCGCAAAGATTTACGCAAACGTGTGAATGTAGACTTTGATTAGATCGCACTAATTATTTCCTTAATCAGTATGAATGGGGTGTTCGTTTCATGCTAATGATAAAAGGAGAATTGAAGCAATGACTAATTAAGTTTTCTTTTAAAGAATTATGAGAAGAATAAACGTGACTATGAAATCTCTTTACGTGGCAGGGAGGGTGCGTGGCAGAGAGAATGACTGGTAATTTCAGCCAATCAGAGGCGGGGCAGGCATTCAGCCCAGGAACCACAGAGCCATGATTGTTAGCTTCGTAGACGAGCAGGTCCACATCTCCTACAATTGTTTCATGGAACTTTTCCACGTTGACCCTGCTAGTTTAGATCATGCCGAATTTTATCTTAGGGTTTTGTAAATAGAACGGATATGCAATTTAGCAGTGTTTTGTTAAGGATTTACAATCGAGGTTAAGGTAATTTTAAACTGGGGATAAAGTTAGGGGGAAAGTGTCAACACGGCAGAAACCACCGGTTTTGTTCTGTTATGTCGTGGCTTAGTCGTGGAAATGTCGCCTCCCTCTACTGCTGTTGACATAGGGACTAGGTGTCTTTAAGGGGACAGTGGGGGCAAGAAATTTGTACTTCTTAATTACTGTATTCTTTTTATTCCTTTAGGTAATTCAGCGTAGACGTTCGCAGATAGTTAACTCAGCTGGAGTGTGGAGTTGGTGAAGATTTTTTCTGAAGTTGAAGTGAACAATTGAACATTTTTCTTGTGACTTGTTTTCTGAGAAAGATCGTTATGAATAGGGACTTGATCCTTCGCAGAGACATAACTACCTGATCACTTCTGTATATTTACTTTATTAACCTTGCTATCTGAATTTGGCTGAATATAAATATTTGGACAAAGGAATCACTTTAAAAGCTCATTAAGTTGACACATCAAAATGGATGTTGTAACTATTCTTATAGGCGCTGCGGTATTCGTTATATCAGCTTTGGTAATATACTGCATCTCTGCCTTTTCAATGCGAGAGAAAACTTTTGAAGAGGTAATTGAGGAGCAGCGACGTCGAGAGGAGATAGAAAGAGAAAAAGCAAAAGCAGAGAAGAGGGCAGAAAAAGAGCTGCAGAAGAAGAAGCACAAGAAAGGAAAGAATGAAAAAGTGAAAGAAAAGGCAGCGCAGGTTACCGAACCTGAGCTTAAAATAGAGCATAAAATGGTAAATCTTGAAATTGAGCCAGAGATTATTGAACCCACTGAACATTTGGGGCTGAATGTTGGCGTCAGGCAAAGAGGAAAGAAGGAGAAAGCCACTAAATCAATTCTGCAAAACAAAAGCGAGCATACCCCTGTAGTTGAGAAGGCTGCTGAGGTGTACCACAAGCCTGTGGTGCCCAAAGATGAACTGGAGTTGAAGAAGAGCCACGAGAAAACCGTAGTGGAGAAGATTGAGAAAGTAAAGGTGGTTCATACTGAAACTCACCATGAGGTCAAAGTAAAGCATTCAACTGAGAGCAAAGAAAACTTGCCTCCCAAGAAAGCAGAGAAAGATGAAGAGCTGGTAGCTAAACATGTCCGTGAACTGGAAAAGCGGCCACCAAAGAAAGTGGAGAAGGAGGAAGAGGCAATAACTAAATCTGTCAGTGAGTCGGAAAAGCGGCCGGCGAAGCAGAAAGTACATACAGGTATGTGTGTGTTTTATTTTTGTTAATGAAAAACTGATATAAATTATATGATTTAATTTATTTTCATTTTTTGGCTGATCTCATATATTTCATCCCTCATCAATGCCTCATACAGTTTTTGATGCTTTCTTTTGTTTTAATCCGTTCAGTTGTCCAACAAATTTTGTTTGTTTTAACAGACAATCCTACAAAACAACAAGGCATGCAAATGTTTCATAGACATTTCGTAACTCACTACTTAAAAAGTGAGGAAAAAAGTAAAAGACCCTTTCCACGCCTTTTGGCATATTGGGCAAGACCTATATTTTATATGCCAAATGGCTCTTTATGGCTGATATGGTCAGCTGCCCCTTTACTTCCCAGGACTGCACCTGGTGCCCATTCAAGGCGGGGTTGACCTGTGAGTCAAAATCATTTTTAAAAAAAGTCTGACTCCATCAGGACCCAAACCCTCAACCTTCCGATCTACAGGTGAGCATCTAGCCGCTACGCCACAGTGACTCCTCTCTCTCTCTCTGTCTTTCTCTCTCTCTCTGTCTCTCTCTCTCTGTCTCTCTCTCTGTCTCTCTCTCTCTGTCTCTCTCTCTGTCTCTGTGTGTGTGTGTGTCTCTCTGTCTCTCTCTCTCTGTCTCTCTCTCTGTCTCCCTCTCTCTCTCTGTCTCTCTCTCTCTGTCTCTCTCTCTCTCTCTGTCTCTCTCTTTCTCTCTCTCTCTCTCTCTGTCTCTCTCTCTCTCTCTCTCTCTCTCTCTCTGTCTCACTCTCTCTGTCTCTCTCTCTCTCTCTCTTGTGTCTCTCTCATCCCCTCTCTCTCTCTCTCTCTCTGTCTGTCTGTCTCTCTCATCCTCTCTCTCTCTCTCTCTCTCTCCATATATACACACATACACGTCCATCCACCCACCCAAAGATCTGATTCATTCTAAAATGTGTTTACCCTTTCTGTCGCCCGTATTTTGGCAAATTTTCTGTCATGTTCTTCTACACTCAAATCTGATTCTGGTGTAGTTAGAGGCAGGTTTCCTACAAGAAATGCACACACAGACATGAGTATAGCAATGAGCACTCTAGCCTAGAGCCAGTAAACCAGTAGACTATAGCAATGAGCATTGTAACCATTATAACAGTAGACACTATAGCAGTGAGCACTGTAATTAACAGTCATTATAACAGTAGACACTATAGCAGTGAGCACTGTAATTAACAGTCATTATAACAATAGACATAGCAATGAGCACTATAACCTTGCAGCCGTTATAGCAAGCACTATAACCTGAAGCAATTAGAACAGTAGGCACTATAGCAGTCAGCACTATAACCAAGTGCCATTATAGCAATAAGCACCATAACAGTGACTATAAGTTCAGAAACAATTGTGATAATAGCACTATAGCAGTGAACACTATAAACAGGAGCTATTAAAACTATGTCGATAAACAGGAGGACTTCAATGAGCTGCTCTTTGCCGACGATCAATGCATATTTCACAGTGATAGTAAACAGCTGCAAGACCACATAAACCTACTACACGACAGTTGCCTCAAGCATCATATGAAGATCAATACTGAAAAGACAGAAGTCATGAGCATAAGTAGAGAGCAACAGACCATCGACATAAAGATTCTAGATCACAGCCTAAAACAAGTGCAAGAATTTAAATACTTGGGAAGTATCTTTACATCCAATGGTAAAATAGACAGAGAGATCGAAGCAAGAATCCAACAAGCCAACAATGTCGCATACCAGCTTGCCCCAATTTAAAACACCCTGCTGTCCCAGCTGAGATAAAAAGACAAATTATAAATACAATCTTTATACCGACATTAGGTTATCAATGTCAGACTTGGACATTAACAAAAGAACACGAGAGAAGACTAACCACCTGTGAAATGAGATGTTTGAGAATGGCTGCGAATAAAGCCAGAAGAGATCAAGTGAGAAACGATGTGATTACAAGAACTTTTGGAACCATACCCATCGTTAAATTTATTGAGAAGCAAAGAATGAAATGGTTTGGTCACCTAATGAGAATGGAACAACGATGCCAGCATCAAGAGCATACAACATGAAAATCGAAACAACAAGAGGCAGGGGAAGACCAAGAAGAAGATGGATTGAAGGAGTCACGGACAACTTGAGACTTCATAACATCAAGGCATATGAAGCGACTGAGCGCGCCCTGGCTCGGTTGCCGATCATCTGATAGACTGCGACGCCTAGCGGCACAAGCAGATTTTGACAAAAGAAGAAGATTAAAACTATGAACACTGTTGTGGTAAGCACTATAACCAGGAGCCATTATAACAACAAAAAGTGCTATATCAATGAGCACTGTAATCAGGAGCCATTATAACAACAGTAAGTCCAGGAGCTATTATAACAACAGTAAGTGCTATGTCAGTGAACACTTTAACCAGGAGCCATTATAGCAGTAAGGATGATAGCAGTGAGCAAAATAAAATTGAACATTCTAATAATGATGCTAGCTTGCTATCCCAAAGGTTTTAGATTTATATATTTGCATTCACTTGGTTGCCCCAGCAACGCTCACAATCTGTCATAACTTCATTAATCAGTCAGGGGCAGTCTCCACAGTGAAGGTTGGTTGCAAGTGATCTCCAGCACGCTCTGTCTCCTGTCCTGGTTGTACACCCTGTCAGACTGCTGCTGTTCATTCATCTCTTGATGTTGATCTCCCACTTGTATCATTGCCTTACCTTTTGCTCTCTTGCCTTCAGCCTTTCCCTCCAGTATGGTTTTTTAAAGCGTGTTATGTCTTTTAATGTGACCAGAGTATTTCAGTTGTCTCTTTTTTATTTATTTCAATAATTCTCTTTTCATTTGTAGTATTTTCAGAACCTCTATATTAGATGTTTTTGTTTCCATGAAATATGACCTATTCTTCTGTACCACTATATTTCCAGAGACTCAAGTTTTTGCACCATACAGCAGGATTGAGTACACATAACATTTGACATTTCTCATTTTTAGTAGGCTGTTCATCTCTCTAGTTGTCCAGTAATTTGCACATCTTATTGAAGATAGTTTTAGCCATTCCTGTTCTTTTTTTGATATGTTTCACTGCCGCCATCATCTATTACTACTACTTGTCCTAGATTGGAAAAACTGATATTTGCTTTTGGTCGCTCTTTTTTTCTATTGTTAATTACTATAGTTTTTTGTTTTTTGAATGTTAATGTTTGAAGCATACTCTGCCTGTTGACTTGATCAACTAGTTCTTGTAACTCCTGCTTGCTTTCTGCTAGTAACACTGTGTCATCCGCGTGTCTCAGATTATCATTCTTCCATTAATATTCGGTCCTGGCAATTTATGGTAATGCCTAGGAAAAAAATCCGTAAAAACAATTATACCCTTGTCACAATTAGATTTTAAAAATTGTATTTATCCACACTGTGAAATTTGTGTTCTCAAAATATGTAAAGGGACCGAGCATTGGGGGATGGAAGGCTAATAAATTGTGTAAAAAATTGTATTAAACGACATTTTGGATTTTTTTGTCTAGAAATATGTAACGATATATACAAGGGGTAATCAGTAAAAATAAACAGTGAAGCATTCAAATTAATACCTTCCAGAGGGCCTCAGAAACAATATATTGTGGGGGTACTCATGCCCTGACCTCAATCACTGAGGCTTACAGAAAAATTTGACATCAACTTGGCTTTAAAAAAATTAATTAGAGTCATAAGAAACCCCTCTAAATGCTATATTTAGTTAATATATTCACATTCTGGCCTCCTAAACACTACACAGACTCACATAGAACTACTTTTCAACAAAAGGTCACTGCAGAAATGGCGATGTATATCAGCATTTACGGGGCCATGCCACAACCAGAAGGGACTAGATGTTTACCTTCTTGGGGCAATAGGATTAAGGTTTAAATCTGCTTCAAGGTGGATTATTTTTCCAAATTCACCATGGCTCCCAGATCCACTCAGCCTCAACTGGGTTCCACATAATGTCCTTGCAAATAAAGGTGGCTGGGTTATGTTGACAGCATCACCCGTCAACTGATTGGTCTATAAAGTGAAGGTCTAGAAAAGGAGTGAATAAAGCCATTTTATTTTACTTACTTTGTACTTGTCAAGAGATATGGCTGTGTCATGTGACCAATCAGTTGTTACTGTGTACTGTTGTAGATGATGTTCCTTTGAATGGCTCAAGGCTGATCTCAACAGTGAAGAGCGCAAACCTAACTGAGAGTGAAGTTCAGAGTCTGATAGACATCCTGCTCAATAAACAAGGTCTGACGCCTGCAGGCACTGCTGCCAGCGAGTCCTGGAACAAGGTTTGGTCATTTGTTCAGTTCTTCTTGTGTGGGTTCCGGGGCTCCATTTGAAAAAGGGGGGGGGGGAGGGTAGACCCACCACTCCCTAACAAGCATGTTGTAGAAGACATCAAATTTATTGGTTTGAAAGCCACAGATAACACGGCCTAGCTGTAAACCGCAGCTTTTTCAAAAAAATCATCCTTATCGGGATTCGAACCCAAGACCTCTGGATCAGAAGTCCAGCGTGCTATCCACTGCACTACAGGTATATCAGTGTTGATGGAGATAATGGTCAGAAATAAAGGAAAACTCATTATTCTGCAACTTGCAAAGGTTGCAGAGAGGGCTGAATCACACCTGATGTACCAGGACCAGGGCTTGTACTGGTCCAGAACTATCCACACCGTTTCTTGCAGTCATCCTAGAAGCAAGTTCCCAGCCGGGGGCCTGCCCAACTGAGATCGGATCACAATTCAGAAGGCATCTATCTGAGGGGCGAAGAACTGATCATCTGTATACAAATAAGCCAGATCTGTAATATGGATGTGCACACACAATTCAGGTTCTGGAACAAGGCCACACAAATAAGCCAGATCTGTAAATTAATGTGCACGCAACATTCAGGTTCTGGAACACGGCCACAAAAATAAGCCAGATCTGTAATATTAATGTGCACACACAATTCAGATCCTGGAAAAGGCCAACGTCCAGAAGTGGCCAAACAACCAGGACTTTCCAGCAGAGTTTACAGTTGGCGAATGTGATGAAGAAGAAGAGGAGGGTAATTTGCTTACTGACCTTCCCTCATGATTTCTTGATAATTTCTTGACAGTAAAGTGTAGTCTTTTTCAAGTTGTCCATTTTTTTGGGTTGTCTTTTAAACAGAAGAGTCAGAAAGGTGACCCTGTAGCCACATTGAAAAAGCAGCTGGAAGAGAAAGAGAAAGCTCTTCAAGAAGGTTTGTTTCATTTTGTGCTTGGATTTATATTTGTGTGTGTGTATGTGTATTCATGTCTGCTTGTAATAATACATATATTGTAGACAATGTATATTGTATACAGTATATATTGTAGATTGTGTATATTGTAGACAATAACTGGGTTTAATCTTTGTAGCCTTCCCATGTGGGTTCCAGGACTCCAGAGCACAGGATAGACTGCCCTTCTAACAAACATTTCACAGAAGACGAATAATTAGGGATGTTTTCTTTAAAGTCGGAGTGAATCTAGTCTGAGAAGCAAGGAACCAAGTCTGCTTACAAATAAGCCAGATACCTAAAATTAATGTGCCCACAAAACTGAATTCTGGAACAGGACCAAAGTCCAGGAGTGGATGAACAACCAGAACTTTCCATCGTAGTTTATAGCCGGTAAAAATTGTCCGGAAAAACCACAAACGACCAACAAATGTTGTTTTGGTTTGCAGCATCCTCTAAAGCAGCAGTTTTCAACCTGTGGGTTGCGACTTTTTTTTTTAGGTCGAACATCCTTTTTACAAGGGTCGCCTAAGACCATCAGAAAACACATACTCATTCCCCCGTGTGGGTTCCGGAGCCCCATTGTGGGAAAAACAAGAATAGACCCGCTGCCTCCCCAAAAGCATGTCGTAAGAGTCGACTAATTGGGGAGCTTCCTTTGAAGTCGGAGTGCATCTGCCGGAGAGGCAAGGAACCAAAAGTCTGTATTCAAGAGAATGAGATCTGTAAAACTGATGCACGTGCAACACTCAGGTTCTGGAGCAGGACTGCAGTTCTGTAGTGGACGAGCAACCAGAACCTTCCGCCAGAGTTTACAGCTGGTGAACGCGAAGAAGACGAAGAAGAAAACATACTCATTGAAGTAATGAAGTAGCAAGGAAAATAATTGTATTGTAGGTCGGTTGAGGACCACAGCTGTAAAGGATATGCTGTTAACTTTTTACATACTGTCACCACGAGGGTCTATGTATATATCATTTCACTCTTCTCCTTTTGGAATCTTCAGTGAAGGTAAAGGTAGTCCCATAGCAAATACTTCTGTTAGGACATGGGAGCGTTACGCCTTGACATCTCTAGGGCCAGGATCCTTCCCCCTTATAAATTATGAAGGCTAAGCGGAAATGAAGCGTGATGAAAATGGCTACTTGGGTAGCCAGATGTCTTTAACACGCTTTAACCAAATTGAAACCTAAAGTGAATACATTATTCGCTGGCTGTGATTCACCAAGAGGTTCCCATCACATGCTATCTATCGTTTGTGACTGAAGGAGTTAGCAATAAGTACAGTGGTATAAAGTTGAAATATTTAGCTAATATGACATCTGTTACTGCTTAGAAGTTCGACAGTCTGATATACCATGGGACTTTAAATAAAAACCTTAATAGTGTGATAGACATTACAGTAACTATGCAGAAGTGGGACATTCAACATCATGATGACAGTTATGACATCACTGTGTTCATCTGCACCATGATGGTGCATGCTTAACAATTTTGACATCCTTAACGACAATATTGACAGGTTACAAGACAAAGGCACAGTTGTTGCAATTTGTAGCACAGTTTTAAGGTTTTCAATTAAAGCCACCTTGTACATGACTGGAGCTTTGTTGAGATGAATCTCTCCAGTAACACTCATTCATTTTCTCCATTTGGTTTTCACTAGAGAAACATGGCTCTAGGTTATGACATATGTGGTTCGGTGGCCAGTTTCCTTCACTGTCACCTTTCCACCTTTCCTGTTTGGATAATATCCAGAACATTTCAAAAATGCTCTGGTACCCATTGTTATGAGGCTGGTTCGATTCCTGAGCAGTAATAAACTGTAATCCCACTTTTGCCTGGGATTAAATCTGGACCCTGCCTTGACAGGCAAGTGAGTTCATTGCTATGCCACCATATCTTTATTAGAAAAAAAAATGTTGTTACTGCGTGTAGTACTGCTCTTTTATGAGGTGTTGTAGGGTAGAGAGGGGTTCTCAGCAAGTGCAATCGCCACGCACTACAAATTAGGTTTTAAATTTTCACCAAGACAGACAAAAAAAAAACACACACATTTTCTAACTCTTTTAGTAGGTTTAAATAATTTTGCTTTAATGATACCAACATTAGTGGACATTATGGAAACTTGTGGGATATTTTTTTTCAGAACAAGCAACAACTGTAGCTGCCAACACTTGTGCCAAGAAGCTCAGAAATGAGCTGACAGAAATAAAACATCCATTGCCTGTCTGCTATAATAGGCTTATAAAATTTTGCTTCAATGATACCAACAATAATGTTAATTATAATTAACCCACGGAAACTTATGTGCTTTTGTTTTCAGAGCAAGCAATAACTGTTGCTGCCAACACCCGTGCCAAGGAGCTGAGAAATGAGCTGTTGGTGGAGAAGAACAAGTATGTTGCCATTGAGAAGAAGCTGAAGGAAAGCGTTGACAAGCACCAGTCGGAGTTGCAGGCACTGCAGCAGCGTATGCAGCATGCACACGAGCAGCACCTGCAGGAAACCAGCAGCCTGCAGACCCGAATTAAGACTTTGGAGCAAGGAAGTGACAAAGCCGCCCTGCAGAAATTGGCTGATGTAAGTGTTGCATTTTATGACCTAACAGTAAAAATAAAATTTGGTATAAGAGAAAATCTTCTTTGATCAGTTTTGACTCTAATTCTGTTCTGGTTTTTGTATGTGGTCTTCATTTATTTTTTTCTTTGGTCTTGTGGGTTTCAGTATAAGGACATTGTCTTGTCTTGTCCACAATTGCCTCACAGCGTAGTGGGGAGTCGCAGTTTTCTATCCTGGGCCAGGTGTGTTGCACGTGTTGTTGTTAGTCCCTGTTGCCTCAGGATCTCTGATATATTGTCTATCCATCGTACTCTCGGTCTTCCTCTTGCTCTAGGGCAGTAGTGCTGTTCGTTGTATGCTCGTAGAGGAATTTGGTCGGTTTGCATTCGCATCAAGTGGCCAAACCACTCTATTTGTTGCTTCTTTATGTATTGCAGGCATGGTGTGGTTCCTACAATTGATCTAATGTTCTCGTTTCGAACTCTGTCTCTCCTTGTGACATTGGCAGCCTTACGTAAGCATCTCATTTTGCACGTCGTGATCTTTTTCTCCTGTGCTCTTGTTAGGGACCAGGTTTGGCATTGGTAGCAGAGGGTTGGTATAAACATGCAATTTATCAGTTGTCGTTTTAGTGCCATAGTGATGCTTAGGTGTTTTAGCAGTGGGGAGAGTTGGTAAGTTACTGATAAGGACATTGTCACAGTATTATCAGATTTTCTCAGTATGCTGACATCTTTATGATTAACTAAATGTAATAATTTTGAAAAAAGACATCATTAGCCTCAGACTCGGCAATAAATGTGTATTGGCTTGAGCTGTATCAGCATAGCCATTGTTAAAAATTTTGTAGCCATTTTGTCATTATCTGTTAACTAATGGTCTCGAGGTCAAATCCTCATATGGACCGGTATGTCCTTGACTCAGAGAGTGAGTAATGGGGTCATGGCAGTAAATGAAAGAAGAGTTTAGAGCACACCTTAAACAGTGCTTACATTGTGACCTATCCGCTTTTTCTTTCTGTTCACCGGCTGTAAACTGTGACTGTGACCTATCCGCTTTCTCTTTCTGTTCACCGGCTGTAAACTGTGACTGTGACCTATCCGCTTTTTCTTTCTGTTCACCGGCTGTAAACTGTGACGGAAAGTCAGATCTGGCTTGATTTTATGCAGACTCTTAGTTCCTTGCCTTTCAGGTAGATGTACTCCAACCTCAAAGGGAACATGCTTAGTTAGTCGCCTTTTACAACACAGGTGTTAGGGGACTTAATTGTTCATGGTGTCTGGATTTTGATCGGGCTCTTCCAGAAAATAAATTGGCATGACATACAATCTTAGTGATGATCCAAGAACAGTCTCTCCCCCGGCCTACCCTTTAAAAATGAAAAAAATTACTCAGCCGTATATCCTAAAATTAATGCAGCGGCATTGAATGGGATGTTATCAATAGAACTTTTGTTCCACACTTGCTTATTGTATTCCCCTCGTAGATTCCCGGGCACAGTTATCAGGGCAGAAAAAAAAATAATAGACCCACTTATCTATAACAAGCATGTTGTAAACGTCGACTAATTAGGCATGCTTCCTTCACAGTTGGAGTGCATCTGACTGAGAGACAAGGAATCAACAGTCTGCATACAAATAATGAGTTCAATCTGTGAAACAGATGTGCATGTAGCACTCATGTTCTGGAACAGACATTGACTAGCAACAAGAACTTTCTGCCAGAGTTTACATCCTGTGAGCGTGAAGAAGAAGAAATAAGCATAAAAATATGTCAGATCTGTCAAATGGATGCGCATGCAAAACTCCGGTCTAGAAGTGGATGAACAACCAGCCAGAACTTTCCACCATAGTTTACGGCTAGTGAACACGAAGATAAAGATAAAGCAAACCAAGTATTGGGACAGCTAGCCCCCCTCTTACAGCATAAGACAATCCCAATCAACACAAAGAGACATCTTATTCAAAGCATATTTATTCCAACTCTGTGCTACCAGTGCCAGACATGGTCACTTACAACAAACCATAAAAGAAAATTAGTAACCACGGAAATGAGATGTCTGAGAAGGGCTGTAGGAGTGACCATAAGAGATAAGATCAGGAATGAGATCATAAGAGAACAAGTCGGCACAGAACCAATTCTGGATTACATACAAAGACAGCAAGTGAAATGGTTTGCCCACTTAGAGAGAATGCCTTGTGGCACCATACCATACAAAGCATACATGGAAAGAGAAGAAGGACGTAGAGCACGGGGTAGACCAAGAACAAGATGGAAGGATAACATCAGAGAATCTCTACAACAGCACGATGTGCCTATGGTCGAGGCAGCCAGAAGAGCTAGAAACAGAACCTTACATCTCCCTCGACACCCACAGCGGTAAAAGAGGAAGTGAAGAAGAAGAAGAAGAAAAAGAACACGAAGAAGAAAAAGAATGTTTCCCAATCAGTATATCCCAGACTGTACTGGGGCTTATGGCAGTAAATAACGGAAGTAGTTTAGAGGACATAAAAGACACTGTTTATACATAGTTATAGTGTCTGGACTATGAGATGGGCAAGCTCTTTTAGTGGATGAATTGCCCATGACATACAACCTTAGTATTATCCCAACAATCTTTGTTTCCTTTAACTTACCCACATGTTGTAATATTAATGCAATTTGTTGAATATGGTGTTATTTACAGAACTATATATATATATATATATATATATATATATATATATATATATATATATATATATATATATATATATATATATATATATATATATATATATATACACTGGCTCTTTGTTTGCTCATTATTCTTAATTGATTGCATATTAATTCTCTCCACTGTTGATTCTTTTTTAGGAAAAGAAATCCCTCCAGGATAACTTTAACCTGACCGTGTGAGTATTTTTGTTTGTTTCGAAGTTGAATAGGTATGTCTAGTGCGTCAGGACCAGGGGTCATCCTACTGGGCAATATCTATCTGTATCGTAGAAAGAGGTTTCCACCTGGGGAGGGATGATAATTTGCAGTTAATAATGCGGATCTGTTTAAATGTTAATAAACTGCAGCAGTTTCATTTGACAGAAATCAGGCTACTGTCTGAGAACTTTTTCTGAACACACTCAGATGCTGTTTTTTTTTTTAGCTAATTTTGGTGGGGGGGGGGGGGGGGGGGGGGGGGGGGGGGGGGGGGGGGGGGGGGGGGGTAGGGGGGGGGGGGGGGGGGGGGGGGGTGGGGGGGGGGGGGGGATTTTACCTTTACATTGCATGGTGACTGCATGAGCAAGCATCCTTTTTGTTTCTCAATCCTGTAATACTGTTATAACAGTGAAATAAGATATTGAACGTCTAGACTATGAGCTTGTTAATATAATTCAAGATTCCCTTTGTTGTCTGTATTTTCAGCAACGACAATGTGAGACTGAATGAGAAGTTAAAGGCTACGGAGAACGAGCTGAGCAAGGCTGTAAGCACTGTACAGGCCAGTGAAGTTGCCAAGAAGACCTTGGAGTCCAAGATTAACACCTATGAGCAGAAAATTAAGAAGCTGGAATCTGCACAGGCAAGCTTTGAACTTTCAACTTTAGCACCCATGAACACATTTGATTTCATCAAATCACTTTTGAGTTTTGTTTATTTATGTGTGTGATATATGTAATGCAACCAGTGAGGATTGGGTGGGTAAGAGAAGCAGGTGGTCAGAGAAGAGAAGGTGTATGGTGGATAACTGAGGATGTTAGAGTATATTTCAACATAGGTCATGGGTTTATGTCCTTGGTAAGCTTTGAAAAAAATGTTGTATTATAGACTAGATATGTGCTGTGTCTGTAACAATAAATACCTAAAACTTCTATATGATTGCTGTTTCTTACAATTAACAGATAAGATTTTCTCTTCATCCCCTGTGGGTTCTAAGGCCCCATTGTGGGGAGAAAAAGAATGGACCCACGGCCCCTCCCCCTCATAAGTATGTTGTAGGAGGCGACTAATAAGGGGTGTTACTTTGTTCATCTGCCCGAGAGATTAGGAACCAGCGGATGTACACACAAAACTCATGTTTTGGAACTGCATCAAAATCCAGAAGTGGGTGAACAGTCAGAACTTTGCGCCGATGTTCATGATGGGTGAAGAAGAAGAAGAAAAAAATCACGAAGCACCATCATCCTGAAGGATAACCAAATACAGATTACTATTATAACCGAAACTTATTTAAGGTGGTTGTAATGACTGCCCTTTTGTGTCTCCTCCACACTGACTATCTGTGGTGCAGAGTTAACACTGGCTCTAATGTCTAGAGGTTCACAACTCAATCAACGCAGACATGATCCTCTTCATGGTCACACAACGTCTAACAACGGTTAACACCAGCGGCACATTTCACGAGTTTATTTACACGTTAGCTCAATACACAAATCACAGGTGAATCCACTTACAGCATTCGGACAATAGACGTTGACATATTCACAGCTGGCTTTGACAATCAAACAGGATACCATTCACAGCTGGCCTTCTCGATCATTCATTCCTCGCCGATTCAAATCCACATGCTCTAGTCATTCTCCATTCATCTTCACAGCTTCATTTTCCATCCTTTCTCTCTGGGGCCCAGTCACCGAATGCCCGCCTGATTCTCAATCCCCCAGATCTCCTCATTCACACGTGACACACTCTTTCCTGTCGTTTCACCATATCTCCGTGAAACACATGCTCTCAGGGACTTCCCCAGTTATGCCAATCATCCCCTGACATTATCCCTATTTATAACATCATTACAGTGGTTGAATGCAATAACAATTTTTTGTTTCTTCTTCTTCAACCAACCATCAAACTACTGCTGTCTGAAAGCTAATTGTAATATATTATTACTAATGTGTCATCATATTTGTTATATTTATTGAGTTAACTCATCCTGAAAATAATATGACTTTCTGATTGTTTCTACTAAAAGTTGTTATTTACAATGTTATAAAATGTTTATAAACATGCTTTATTATTAATCATTTGCAGAAGGATGTAGACTCCATGACACATAAACAGATAGAAGAAGTCAACCAAGAACTCCGAAAGGCAGAAGCGAAGAATACATCGCTGTCTTCAGACCTGCAGAAGGCAACTGGCGCCCTGAGCGCAGCGCAGGAAGAGGTTAGAACTCTGAAAGCCAAACTTCAAGAGCTGGAGGTGCATCTCACCAGGACAGACACCAGCAAAGATGTGGAAACCAGACTGCATGTATGGTTTAAATGCTCTTGAACATTTTATAGTTATTTACTACCTGTACTGTTGTCTCTGTCTATCTGTCGCTGTCTATTTTTTACCACTTTTTAGATCGATGTAAAAGGGGGGGGGGAGGAGGTTGTAAGCCTGAGTATTTAGGGCTGCATAGCTAGTACTATTGCCACGGACTGTGCAGGTTAGGATGTTTATTTTTGCACCCGACAGAAAAACTCGATCACTATACCTGGGCCTTGAACCTAAGACCTATACTTCTGTATGTCTGTAAATCATGTCTACCCAGAAAAGAGAGTACAGAGACATTGGAGGCAAGGAGATATTGTTTCTTTGTAGAATGATAACAGTTCCATAAATGATTAGGAAGGAACCCAAAAAAACCATTTTCACATTTTTAGTACATTTGACCTGTGGTGCTAGACCTATGTTTTTACAGTCCATTCGGCACTCGAGGGGAGATGAGGTCAACATCATGCCACCTGTACTTCCCAAGATATATTTCTGGTACTCATTTGAAGCTGGGTTGACCTAGGTTGATCCAAAGTCAGGTGTGAAGTCAAAAATATCAGTTGTGGTGTGGATTTGAACTCTAGACCTTCTTACTGGCAGTCCAACGTCTAGCTTTTGTGCTCCCACAAAAAGCCACATCACAGTGGTTACTTGAATCAGGACAACCAGTAAGGCTAACCCAAATGTATGCCTGAAGTCAGATGTGTCGGCTGAAAATCACAAGTATCACAGTAATGATATAGCTATAAAGTAGTTTTTTGAAAACAAAGCTAGGACCAAGAAATAAAAATAAAAAGCAAAACAAATTAGGATAAGATCATCTTATTTTTAAAAAAATCATGTTTTGAGAGTACAGGGTTTGGAGATGGTTTTGACAGGGGGAGAGATTGTAGGATCCTGACACTGTCTCACAGAGTATATGACAACCATTTTCATAGATGACACAAGGACTATGCATGCAGTGTTGTTAATGCAATTCATATTAATCTGATCTTTTAATCAATTACAAATGATGATTTGTTCAGGAGTCGGAGCAGAAGCGGTCTGACCTAGAAGGCAATGTGAAAAATCTGGAGAACCAACTGGCAGGATTGTCTCAAAGGCTCAGTGAAAGCAGTGCTGAAATTGCTGTAAGTTTTTTTTGTTTTGCACAATTGCTGTTATGTTTACAACAGAACCAGGAGCAGCCATGGTGGTGTAGTGGCTATATGCTTGCCAATTGATTTTTTTTCTTCCAGGCAGAGCCAGGTTAAAATATGTACCAGGTAATGACCTGGGAAGTAAAGGTGGCCAGCGGAGTCTTGGACCACATCACCCACTGATTTGCCTATAAAAATATGCCTCTAGTATTAAATGCCTATTGCGCTAATGGCATAGAGAGGCTTGTTTACTGATGAATGACAGTTTAACATTTCTAAATATTTTATGAACTTTTTATTCTGGAGTCACCGTGGCGTAGCAGCTAGATGCTTGCGTGCGGATTGGAAGGTCATGGGTTCGCTCCCTGGCTGAGCCAGACTTTTTTCAAAAATGACCTTGACTCCCTGGTCAGCCCAGCCTTGAGTAGGTACCGGGTGCATTCCTGGGAAGTAAAATCGGCCGGCACGATGCTGACCACATCACCCATCTTGTGCCAGTTGGTCTATAAAGATATAGGTCTAGCCCTATATGCCCCATACGCCTAAAGGCGACCTTTACTTTACTTTCTTCTGAAAGTGTTTACTGTTAATCATGGATGATTTTGCAGTCACTTTAGAATAAAGAAAAATCATTACTTTTGAACTTAAATGTACAAGAAAAATATATAAAATACTGTTCATCAAGAAGTAGAGGAAATACTGATGTTCTATTCAATGAGAACATTAAAGAAAAGAAAAATTGCTAATAAGCAGCATCATGTCTTGAAAACTGATTTTGTTCCATTTTGACCAGATGAAAAAAACCATTTGATTCTACAACGTTTTGTCAAATCATTTACAGCACTGTGCCTACCATCGTTCTTACCTTAGTTCTTCTTTGTTGGTGACTCTCTTCATGTGTTACCTGCTGCGTTGCTTTTAAAAAAAAAATCTCATCTCATTCACATGTTGTAATTGTCCTTTTATGTTTATGTCGATCCAGGCTAAAAATTGATAGTTCGTAGTGTTCTGGGAAGTGTCTCCTGACTTGACCTCGATGACGGCATAGACGTGCTTCAGCCAGCTTTACTCCCAGGTCACGCAATTGTGTTAGCATCAGTGATTCATCATTATCCCTCAACCTAGTCCATACAGCATTGATGATATCAGCTCTGTCCCTGCTTCTTCCCTTTTGCATGGGTGCATTACTTGCCAGCTGGTCGACTTTTTCATTACCCTTTACTCCTGCATGTCCAGGTGCATAGATCCAGAGGAAGGTTAACTGCCACTTCTGAATACTTTCTGTCCATTCAGGTCATAACTTGGGGGAAAAGGGGGGGGGGGGGGGCTCCATGGCAAAGGGGTCAAGCCGTTTACATCACACTCTGAAGATTATTGTTCATTTCACAGCTGCACTACTCTGTTCATGAGTGCAGTTTTTACAGAGACTGCTAGGATCAGCGCTGGAGCTAGTATTTAATCTTTGTTTAGGCTCTTGGCAGGCAGCTAGCCGTTCTGTGGAGAGGGACCAACCTGTATGAAATAACACCCGGTGAAATTAAGTCAAACTTCTTGACTTTAACCTTTTCATGGAGTCATTACCACATGTGTGGCCGCTTGTTGTAGTTCCCATGCGAGTAGTCTGAAAGCAGCTGTTATATCAATGTTAATGGGTTTTTTAAGGGAAGTTCTTATGCTTGAAACCCCCTGTGGTAATGTAAGCCTTGGGATTACATTGTACTGAGAACTTATTGAGGTTATTTCCGGTTAAATTGTTGCTGTCTCTTGCAGAAACTGCAGCAGGAGAACAAGGTGTTGCTGGATGAAAACAAGACCATTCGTGAGCAACTGCAAACTACTCCTGCCTCTAATGGAGACATCCATGAAAATGGACCAAATATATCCCTGGCTGAGCATGAGAAAATGTGAGTGAATTGTGACAGCTCTGGTTTGTTTTATTTAGACAAAAAGGAAGTTGGTACTGGATGTTGTTGAACTCTTACTGTAACAAGAATAGTTAAACCAACATCACAGTTTCAATGTAAAGGGAAGCACCCTGCACAGTTTTGCTAGACCTTTGATCCTGTCTATTTTCTTTTAGTGGGAATGATTTTTTTCTAGGATTATGTATGTTTTGTGGTGAAATGAGCTTTTACAAAGGTAGGGGTGCTTTGTAAAGGAATCAGGAGTGGAAGACTTATACCATTTTCCATAGTAGAAGCTAGCTTTGTCTTCTAGTTTGTTGATTAAATGGAGATTAGAGTCTTTTTCCTTGTCCTCCACTTCATCTCCTCTGGTGACAGTATCTATTAAAGTTTGCATAATTTATTTCCGTTTTAAAAAAATGTAAGATCTTTATTTGCTGAGCTATATAAATTGCATATTCTGATTGTCTCCTCCTTTATCTCGATATCAATGCCTGTAATTTCTGATTCATTATTTGAGGTCACAGGTACTTTGCTGCTTGGTATAGAGTTTTGAATAAGTATTAGAACTCCTCCCTTGTGCCTTTCTCGGTCGCAGCATATATCTTGATATCCTCCGACTGAAAATCTGTGATGTGCATTTAGTGAGTCTCTTGGATGCATGCAACATCAATTTTGTCTACATGAAGGCGTTTTGTCAGAGCCATTTTTATTTTAAAGACTTCTTCAGCGTTCCAGTGTAGCATTTTGAGGGCCCTGGATGTTTGGGCAGTAGTTTTACCCTAATGCACGGTGCCTTGACTCCACGGCACAGGGGTAGGCACCCACTAGTAGTGTTGGGCGAACCCCTTCAAGTCAAGGGGCCTGGTACTATCTCTGCCAGGCGGGGCTCCACAAGATCAGCACCATATTGATCATTTTCGTTTGTGTCCTCATGGTATTAAGACATGTCTCTCTGCATCTGGTTCCTCTCCTTTGACCTGTCCTTCATGGGAAACCCTACCGGTAGCTAAACTACCATCGGTATAGCTCTTAGGGTCATTGGAACACAAGCCCCTCTACCACAGCAAGGTGTAGACACATCAGGAGGCAGTTTTGGTCTGAAGCCCTCTCTTAGTTTGCAGAAATCAGATTTGTTGGGCCCAAAGATGCAGACATTGCAACCTAGTTGTAACCCACATCACAGCATGCCGACCTCCCTTTTAAGGGCGGATACAAAAGAATAAGATGCTAGCACCACAAATGATTTCTCTGGCACTGTACCTGCACATAATAAAGCATAAATTTATGTAATGTTTCAGTGTGTCCGGGAAAAATAAAGAAGTGAGTGAGCTGGCTGCGGGGTTAGAAGCTCAGAAAAAGACACTGATGGTTGTGCAAGGCCAACTGGACACTAAAGTTGTTGAGGTGACAGATCTCCAGGAACAGCTGGTCCAGCAGAGGAAAAAGAACGATGTGAGTGATGATAAAAACTTAATATCTGGAGGGAGGGATAGCTGTGGGTGGCGTGTCCGGCTTGGTGCTTTATGTTGAATTTGTTGCAGATTTTTGTTTTGTTGGTAAGGTTCATGTTTTTCAGAAAGGCTGCTTTAAGAGCAGAATAATGTGTTTGGATATTTGTGATTATCTTCATCAGGGGTTAATTAGTCCCACAGCTGGTATTTTAGGAATCCTAACACGTCATTCTGCTGTCCTTATTAACAGACAAGAAAAAAAACATGCACACTAAAACTGAAGTTTGACAGTCAGAAAGAAGTAATCCACACATTTCAGTGAATGACATAAACAGAACTGTGTGAGAACCAGAGACACAGAAAGGCAGAATAAAGTGTCAACAGTGTCTTTATTTATGTGATATCTTAACAAATAACAACTAAGCAATTGACTTGTGTATTATATTCTGTGTGTAGGTTCTGGGGCCCCAGTGTGGGGAACGCAAGAATAGACCCACTGCCACCCCAACAATCATGTCATAGGAGTTGACTGGGGGCTTCCTTCGAGGTCGGAGTACATCTGCCCAAATGGCAAGGAACAAGCAACTGCACACAAATATGCAAATAAAATGGATAAAGTCCAAATGGATCAACAACCAGGACTTTCCACTGGAGCTTACAGCCAGTTAACGAAGAAGTATATTACACAGAACTGCTATCCAAAAAATGTTTAAGTACAATAATACAGCAACGTTGGGCAGGCCCAAACTGGCCCGCGGAGCAGTTTTTATCTCCTGCTAGGCTGGTGTGAAATGACTATATAATCTGGCTCTTGGGCTGACAGATTAGTAGAGCACAAATACATACATTTCTGTGCAGACAGAAAAAATCAAAATATCAACATCCAGATAAGTGATTATTGTAAAAGTAACCACCAGAAACTGATGCTACCAAATCTTTAATCCTGCTAGTGAAACACATGTTGTGGACAAACTCAGACATTAGGAGACACTGTAGACTGGTGGACTTTGATAATAAAAAATGAAGTTTCTTTCTCTTTTAACTGGCAAGTTTATAGATTAAAAAAAGTGTGGAGAAACTTTTCTAGGCATTGATTTGCCTGAGAATGGGATCGTGTCGATGAACACAAACAGCTCATAGATTACACTTGTGCATCCGTACAAATTAGTAATTTTAAGTTTGGCCCGTGGACCCCCAGTAAAATGCCTTAAAATTATCAGGTTATTTGTGGCAGTAGTTTTTGTGTTTTGACTTTTTTTTCCTTCTCTGGAAAACATGTAGATATTGGTTGTTTGGGGAGATATTATAGATAGTCATATCTTGCTTACAAAAAATATTGACTTAGCTGTTTATTTGTACTTTTTATCTGATGTGTAGGTCTGTTTGGTCTGTCTTTTTCAACCAGCACAATTGTTTATATTTGCTGCTCATTAATTTTTCTAGTCTTGTTTTTTCTTTGTTTTCTGTGTAAATTATTTGTGTCTATCTGCTCTTTTAGCTATGTTTATTTAATTATTATCTCACTCAATTCATGGTTATAATTATTCATATTATTTTTTAATGATTCTGATTATCTTCACTCTCAGTTATATTTATCAGATCTCTTAGGTTATATATTTATAATCACTTTAAGTTATATTTACATTTTATCTTCTCTCTGATGTACATTTAAAAAAAATGTAACTTCTGTCTTATCTACATAAAAAAAAAATAACTTCTCGCTTATCTACATTTAAAAAAAAAAGTAACTTCTCTCTTATCTACATTAAAAAAAAAGTAACTTCTCTCTTATCTACATAAAAAAAAGTAACTTCTCGCTTATCTAAATTTAAAAAAAAAGTAACTTCTCTCTTATCTACATTTAAAAAAAAAAGTAACTTCTCTCTTATCTAAAAGTAAAAAGTAAAGGACCCTTTTTCACGACTTTAGGTGTATAGGGCATATAGGGCTAGACCTATATTTTATAGACCAATCGGCACAAGATGGTTGATGTGGTCAGCATCACGCCGGCTGCCTCTACTTCCCGGGACTGCACCCGGTACCCACTCAAGGCTGGGTCGACCTGGGAGCCAAGGTCATTTTTGAAAAAAAGTCCGGCTCTGCCAGGGAGCGATCTCTTATTTACATTTTAAAAAAAAATGTAACTTCTCTTTTATCTTATTCATAGTCAATTTAAAAGACACTTTTCTATGCTGTCTGGCATATAGTGCTAGAACTATATTTTATAGAGCAATTATGGAGAGGCATGATCGTCGACTAGCGTGGGCGAGGCACTTGATGGTGATGATGATCTACAAATCTGTTGAAGCTTAAAAATGAAATTTACATTGTGTTTACTCTGGCATTTCCGAATGTATTTGTGTTTACTCTGGCATTTCCGAATGTCTGTATTCTAGTAGAAGTCTGCAATATTGTTTCTTAGGATATTTATTTCTGATGGGTGTCTGGTTTCTGGCAGCTTTGCTTTGCGTTAAATGGGTCTTACAATAATGTTGCTTATTCTCTATGTTTGTTTGTTTGTTTGGTAAATCAAATTTGTCACTCAGTGGTACATACCTGTTTTGTAGTCATATGATTTGTAATTTTGTAATTCTTCTTGTGGATATTCATCTCCTTTCTCAGTTTTCTGGCTGCCTTCAAGGCTCTTTTTATGTTTAGTGATTGCTGTTCAGTTTTTTGCATGCTTTGCTCGAGAATTTGTCACTTGTAAATTCATCCTCGTCTTTAAAAATGTGTTCCGTTGGCGTGATGATTACAACCTAAGCAAAACTGACTGCATGATGAATTGTGGCTGGGCTGCGTCCTTGAAACAGGAAATCTGCTGCGTAATGTGGTGATCCTTCTTCTTCTCCTTTTCCTTCTTCTTTGTTCATCTGAGTACGTAGGTACATTGTGTCAGTTTAAAACATGACTGCGATAATTGTCTTTTTGCTGATACATCTGACTTCTGCAGGCATTAACCATTTTTTTGGGGGCATGGATTAGCCTTTGCTGGTAAGGTGATCCAGTAGGCTGTTTCAATCTCTGGTGAATGTGACGCCAGACAGTGCTGAGAAAATGTAGGAATGTTTGGGTATATTGCCACCTCATTACTAAGAATCTTAGGGGACTGTATGTGATTATCCGCCTTCACTGTACTGTCACTGCCTAGAAACAGAGGTATATGTTTAATAGTTGAGGTGAACACTGAACACTATTGGCAGCAGGTATAAAGTATTTAAAGGTCAAATAATGAAGTTAGAAAAAGAAAATGAGCAAATCATAAAGACTTGGATAGCATTTGAGGCCCATAAAACATAAGAAATGTCAAATTAAAAAAAAATATGGGCTTAATCAACAGAAGAAAAAAATTCACAACTATTTATAGTCAGACTCATGACACATATACAAAAGCAAAAAAATTAGAGAGTAGATAAAGGCAGGCGAAAGGAACAAACAGAAGAACAATGTTTGTTAAAAAGACTACAAATTCTTCACCGTTGTCAGAGAATGTTAGAGCCGCTGTAGTCTAGGGCCTAGACGCTTGCCTGCAGATCCAGAGGTCGCAAGTTCAAATCCAAATAGAGCTGGACTTTTTTCCCCCCGCCTTAAATGAGTACCGGGGAAAAACCTAGGAAGTATAGATGGGATGGGCTGCGTGCTGTTGACCACATCACCCACTGAGTGCCGATTGATCTGTAAAATATATGTCAAGCACTTTATGCCAAATACATTTGAAGATGTGGAAAAGGGTCCTTTACTTTTACTTTACTGAGAATCTTAGGTCTCCAGATTACACCAGGACCAGTTTGAAAAGGAAGCAATGTATGGGGGGAGGGGGGTGAGTTAGGGTTAGCCTGCCTAATCCTTTTCGCAGGAATTAACATCTGGACTTTAAACGCTCTCTGGCAGTCATGGTGACATTTTAATGTGCGTTTCAGGAGTTGAGACAGAAAAATTGGAAGGCAATGGAAGCATTAGAAAAATCTGAAAAGTCTGCAAGTGAAAAGGTCGATAAAGCTTTGAAATCTGCTAGGGTAAATATTTAATGTCTTTGTGTCTCTGATCCTTGCTTATTTGTTTGTGTTACCAGAAACACTATTGGTTTTTTTAGTGTAAAAGTGAAGAAGGACCTTGCTTTTATTTTTGCATTGTGCTCACTTCATTTTTAAGTTTATCCATATTTATTGGTCTTTTCTTATTTGCTTTTTGTTTTGTTTTTGTTTTTGCATGATCTGCTTTTGTACTAAGGATGAAAGTTGAGCCCATGATTGCTTTATTGCTTCAGGGTCAGTGACTCTCTTATTGTTGCTGAGTCATTGATTGCTTTATTTTTACAGTCAGTGAATATTTTGTTGTTGCTGAGTCACTGATAACTATTTTATTGTTGCTGAGTCGGTGGCTTTTTTATTGTTTGCTGAATCAGTGAATATTTGTTGCTGCTGTGTCAGCCTTCTTCAGCTGTTGTGCACCTCACTGTCTATATTCTGATAATTGTTGAAACAATATATTTAGGATCACTTCCCTGTTGCAGTAAACTGAATGAACTAAACTCATGGGAATTGAAAAAGGTCACATTTTTCATAAGCATTTGTTTTAAAACAGCCAAACTGCTTTGGCAATCGCTAGTAAAAATTACCAGCTTTTCTCAGGTCATTGTGTACACCAAGGAGCTGAATGGTCGTATACCATGAGGCAGACCAAGAAGACCATGGAGAGATAATATCCAGATAGACGCACAAACATTTGGTGTTGCTAACTGAAAAGATAAGGCCAACCAGAACAAATGGAGGCAGATTATACCTGCAGTAGTGGACCTCAAAGGCTCGGAATGCTGATGATGAAGAAGAAAGACGAAGAAAGTTTTAGAATAATTTACTTTGAAAGAGGTACCACTAAAGCAAGTTAAAAAAGATGCAGCATGCTTTTGTCATTTCAAATGATCTAATGGTTTGCTTAAAACTGAGTTGCAGGCGAAAATTTTAATGTACAACCACAGAGAATGTCGTTCTTCGATATATATTGAAGATATGGTCTAGAAATAGCTTGGTTGTTCAAAGTTAAGGATGTGAAGATCAACTTCATTGTACCGGGTTTTATTCCATATGTCTTAGACTCTCTTCGCAGAACAGCTAGCTCCCTGCCAAAAGCACAAAGCATTAACTCCGAGGCTCCAGCGATGATCCCCAGGGATCTCCGTTAACAATTACACTTCTTAACTGAACGGCGCATCCAAAAAAACGAACCCATGAAATTCAGAGAGCAAGGCAAATGACTTGACCACTCCACATGGAGACCCCCATGTTCTTTTATATCACTGATTCTAGAATGAGTGGCCAGTAATCTTTTTGTTTAATTTATCCTGATTGTAATTTTTAAATTTCTCTTTGTTACCATCAGTAATGATTTGACCTGGCTTGAAAGTTATTGACCAGTTAACAGTTGAATGTCGAATTTAGAATCGACATCATAGCACTCGGTACAATCCCATAAATACTCCATCCCCATCTTCAGCAGCAAGCTAAGAGTTCCAATTCCGATGGTACCAGTAACTGCCTGATTGTACATTTGTCTTGCCTATCCCTTGAGTTTTGAGCGGCAGCCATATCCCCTGGTAACTTCCCGCAGCATCATTCTCCGCAGACCCTAATGATCTATGCTTCCACACTGTTTACCCGCTCCCAAAGAGTCCTTCCTCACAACATCTAGCTTGTCATATTCCATTTCACCACCAATTGGTGCAGAACCAGCCAGTCTGTCTGCCTGCTCATTTCCCAACACACCGGCATGACCTGGAAACAAATATCCAAAGGGCAGTTATGAAAACTCAGCAGATTTGACACATCTTACCCCAGGTATGGGGCAGAGGCTCATGGTCTGTAACCCTGCTTTAGGGTTGTTTTCAAACCACCTGAAATACACAGACATTCATAGAATGTTGGGAACCTACCATTATTCGCATGTTTGCGTTTGACATTTATATTCTTCTGCTTTTGTTGCCATGTGTAGTGCCTCTGCCAGTTTGTAATTTTTTAAAATTTATTTTCACTTATTTTGCAGTTCATTAGTTATTTAAATTGAAGTTATCTTAATTTTACTCTAGTGTATTTTAAGGTTATATTGGAGTATGGATATACATAGCAAATATCTTGGCAAGTTGTGACATAGCATTTAATGTAAAAGGTGTCAGAAAGATCATTAGAAAGTGCAGGTGAAAAAAATGACCTAATGGTTAAATAACCGTGTGGAATAATAATTTCTTATAATTAGTTTCAGTTTGAAGGAGACAAATCCCCACGTGGGTTCTTGGGCTCCATCTTGGAAATCACAGAATAGACCCACTACCTGCATCTGAGAGCCAACAAACCAACAGTCTGCATACAAATAAGCCAGATCTGGAAAACGATGTACACATACAGCTCAAGTTCTGGGTCAAGACCAAAGTCCAGGAGTGGATGAACAAATAGAACTTTTTTCTGAAGTTTAAAGCCGGTGAATATTAGGAAGAAAAAAAAAATTAGAAATTAGAAAAATATCAAATTTTTTGATTGTTGGATGAATTCTTTGGAAAGTGGAGGTACTCCTAAGTTTGATGCTTTGGCTTTCTGGTCATTTAGTCCTTAGAGAGCTTTTTTGAGGGAGTAAAGACCTTCTGCTTGCTGTATTTTAGTAAACTCAAGGGACCCTTTTTACGCAGTTGCGCAGTGGGCACTATTTATATGCAGCCTGTTGGTTCTTTGTCTATCAGGCAGATGCACTCTGGCTTTGAAGGCAATACCTCTAATTCGTTACATTTTATATCATTCTTGTTAGTGGGAGGGGGGGGGGGGGGGGGGGGAAGGGGGGGGGGGGAGTGGGTGAATTCTTTCTTGGGGGATGACCTATGCAGTAGACTTTTTTTTTTGGAACACAAATCTGGAGGTTGACTTGTGTGCCTCGTCCACTTGTACATGCCAGTTAATGCCATTATAAGTGTACTAACAAAGTAACTCTTTTGGTAACTGAAATCATTTAGAAGTGAACCACACAAAACAATTGTCTTAGGAGCTAACCTTGGTTTATACATGGGCGGTTAATTAACATTTGTTCTGTAACTAATTTCAGTCCAAAATGGGCGGGTAACCATTTTCTAACATATGGCAATGGTTTTTTTATGCTTCACATTTTTTAACACATGTTGTTCAGTTAAAAAATAATCATTTATAGCTGGGAACTGATGTATTATGTTTTATTCTAGTTTTATTTGCTTAATATAATGTTTATGGTTTTCATTAGTTGATTTGAAAGAATGGACAGGTCATGCACTTTGTCATTGTAATATTTGCTTTTTTTTTAAAACTTGTTTTATTAAGAGTTGTTTGTTTTCATACTTAGTTTATTTGATAGTCTTGACAGAATTAGAAATTCTCTTCTTCTTCTTCTTCTTCTTCTTGCTCACCAGCTGTAAACTCTGGTGGAAAGTTCTGGTTGTTCGTCTGCTTCTGGACTTCAATTTCAGTCTTGTTCCCAAACTTGAGTTTTGTGTGCACATCCGTTTTACAGATTTGGCTTATTTGTGTGCAGAGTGTTGCTTTTTTGTCTCTCGGGCAGATGCACTCTAGCTTTGAAGGAAACAGCCCTAATTGGTTGACTTTTTATGACATGCTTGGGGGGGGGGGCAGTGGGTTTGTTCTCCCCCACCCAATGGGTCCCTGGAATTACAAGAGAATTTGAGAAGGATATATGGGGAAATGCGATGGGCTTAGGATGCATTGACTTTAGGTGGCTGAGGACAAATGCTCCTTTGGTGAATAACGCTTGAAGATATGTAAGAGAGATACATTCTTAGCATATGCATATTTAAGGGCAAAGACAAGACAAAGAATGGAAGTACTGGAGAGAGAGGCTTGCTTTTGCAAGATGGAGAGAAAGTCAAGAAGCTGCAAACAGAGGATTTAGATCAGTCTTTAAATACAGCAGCCAACACAGACATTAACACGATAACATTATGTCTAGAATCAAACAGCTTGAATCATAAACTGGGGGATTTTTCTTCTTCTGCCTTCACCCTTAAAAGGATGGTTGGCATGTTGTGTTGTGGTTTACAGTTAAGCTGTGATTACAGTTAAGCTGTGATATCTGTGTCTTTCGGCCCAGCACATCCAATTTCAAAAACTAATTTCTGATTACCTCTAATTAGTTTTGTGAATGGAAATCCAAGATCTGTCTGTGAGCAAAGAACCGCAAATATTGTATCTCATATAAACTTCATTGTCCTGCAGGAGCTGAGCACTGCGGGGGTCACAGAGATTGAGACTTACGACAAGGCAGTCTTCCAGCGACTATTTCCAAACATTCAGATTTCAGATAAATTGGTAAGACATCAGATTGTTTGACCAACTTAACAATTTTTGTTTATGTTCAGGGCATTTACAGACTCAATAGAAACTCGTATAAATGATGTATGAGCCAGACAGGACTCTGTCAGTGTCTTTGTGCTGAACAGACTCCTGGACATGTCCGGCAAGACTGTCCTCTCCTGGAGGAGCTGTGAAACATCATGTGGCCACACTCACTAGACCTGATAACTAAGCTTTGGGAAAACCTGAAAGACCTTGAACTGGCATCCCAGTTTATGGCTGCCAGTGGATTACGCGCACGACCGGCGATTACTGGAGAAAAAAGATTCTTATTTAAAAAAAAAAATAACTTTGATGTTTGCAGGTTTTTGTATACTGTTTCACTGTTGAGACAGTGCTTGGTAATTTCATTTCTTGGCTATTCTGCCTGTATTGTATTCCAGCCAGAGGTTATGTTGTGAAGAAGAAAAATGCAGCCATTCTAAAAGATCTTCTGCTGTGTGTTCACCAGCTGTGAACTCCAGAGGAAAGTTTTGGTTGTTCGTCTACTTTTGGACATTGGTCTTGACCCAGAACTCGAGTTTTAGGTGTACATCCGTTTTACTGTCCAGGTTCTTCCCCCCCCCCCCCCAATCTCCTTTTAGCCTATGTACTAAATTTGCTACCCCCTAACTATTTTTCTAGAGGTTGTTTCAAGTACACAAGAAATTGTGTTATGGTTGGGGGCCAGGGTGTGGTTTCATCATGAGACTGGTGGTTTTCTAGGACTTTTCTATGATTATTTTCATTTTATTTTGATGAGTTGTTATGTTTATTAGCACCTCTTGTTTTACATTTGATCTGATAAATGTATTTTTACTCAGTCTCCCACCTGCCCCGTCTCTTTTGATCTCTCTCTCTCTCTCTTACGTATATCCACATGTGTGAGCTGGAATAAAGTACCGCATGTACATGGTACACCCTTAAACAAGGCAAAAATACCTGGAAAAACCCTTGAAAAAAGTTGGGGAATTTGGCTACGAACTCTGGTAAAGTTGAAAAAATAAGGGATTACATTAGGTGAGCTGCATGCAGTAACAAAGGATAGAACAACTTGGCGTGAATTGGCCAGGGTCTATGCTTAATTAGGTGATAGAAGGCAGAAAAAGAATATTGAGAGAAAGGGGCAGAAACTTTGTCCTTTCTGTAGTTATCATAGGGGGGGGGGGGGGGGGGGGGGGGGGGGGGGGGGGGGGTAAACAAGAAAACTTAAAACAAATGTAAATCTTTACAGCCTCACAAAGAATGGATAACAATGTTTGAGAAGCAAGCTGTAAAGAAGATTTCTGAGGTGAGTATATTGACATTTAGTCTGATTAATTTGTTAGTTCTGTTTCTGTTTCCAGTGTTACATTAGATTAAAGTAAAGGACCCTTTTCCATGCCTTTTAGGCGTATTGGGTATATAGGGCTAGACCTATATTGGATAGACCGAATGGCACTTGATGGGTGATGTGGTCAGCGTCACTCAGCCGGCTTGACTTCCCAGGACTACCTGGTACTAACTCAAGGCTGGGTCGACCTGGGAGCCAAAGTCATTTTTTAACAAAAATCCGCCCCTTGTCAGGAACTGAACCCATGACCTTCCGATTGGCAGGCGAGTGTCTAACCACTAGACCACGACAGCTCCCCTAATGTTATCATCATGCACATCCTTTATTCAGTTATTCTGTTCTTTCTTGAGGGTGGGAGGGGGTCTCTGTGGTAAAGTGGTCAAGCCGTTTGCTTCATGCTCTGAAGGTTGTGGGTTTTTCATGGATGCATCTTCCAGGTCCCGCATGCTAGTTTTTTATGGAGGTCATCACTTTAGCTGTGGAGTTCATACTTTTTGAGATGTTCTTGGCAGGTAGTTGCGGAGATAGGCCTAGCCATGTGGAATAACCTGGGGGCAGTGAAGTGCATCCTTTCACCGTTAACTTTTTCTTTTTTGGATGTGTTTTCCTGAATCCTACAGTTTCTTTGAAAGATAGTTCCCTAACAGATGCTGCTATTTAGTTAGTGTTCTTCTTCTTTTAGTCCATGCAGTGTGTTGGTGTTGATAGTCATATCTGTCCACAACCTTTTGTTTCATGTACTTTCAGTCATTCTGATGTGGATGATCTGCCATGCCCTGATGTCGAACTGTTCGACATCTTTTCCCTCACTCTCCCTCTGCCTCTTTTCTCCTCCCACTTTCCCACCACACTGATGTACTCCAGTTGTCCCCTTCTCATCACATTACCAAGGAATGTAGATATATCTTATTCTTCTTCGCATTCACCGGCTGTGAAATCCGGCAGAAAGTTCTGGTTGTTCGTCCACTTCTGGACTGCAGTCCTGTTCCAGAACCTGGGTGTTGCATGTGCATCCGTTTGACAGATCTGTATGCAGACTGTTGGTTCCTTGCCTCTCAGGCAGATGCACTCCGACTTTAAAGGAAGCTTTCAATTAGTCGACTCTTACGACATGCTTTTGGGTAGGCAGTGGGTCTATTCTTGTTTTTCCCATAGTAGGGCCCCGGAACCCACAGGGGGGTGTAGATATATGTAACTGTGGTCCCCAGGGGCTGACTATTGCCTGCATACGTTAAAATATATTCTAGGCAATGTTTTTTGAAGTGAGATAACCATTTTTCTTCCACACTGTGTTTTCTCATCAGACAGTTACTATGAAATTCTGAAATTTGTCTGGTACCCAAGTTCTGAGATGTAGTTCTTAAAAAGGTGGTTGTATTGTGATTTATTGCTAGTCTGTGATACCTGTATTTTTCGACCCAACTCATCAAATTTTAGCAAATTCCTAATTAGTCGCCTTTTACCACGTGCTTCCTGAAAGGCTGGTTTCTCCCCGACCACTCCCAAAGAAAGACGCAGAACCCACATGTGAACTAAGTGCTTACCAAAATTCTAGTTTTTATGTACGTAGATATAAAATCAGATTGAAGAAGCATTACAGAAATTAATAAAAGATATGCAAACAGTAAAGGTCCCTTTTCAGTTGCAATTTTGAATGTTCTTTAATATATGTTATTTAACCAAAATTTAGTTACTTAAAGAAAAAAAAATACCCCTTTGTGACTCTTCTTTATCATGTGGTAGGACTTGCTATTGATGACATTCCTAAATATTTATTATGTGCTGTTATTCTGACCAATCAGAGGCTGATTATTTGCTGCTGTTCTATTGTATTTCAGAAGACAGAGTCATCAGTCAATTCATCTGCATTAGCAGAGGAAAATGACAAGTTGAGAAAGGATGTTGATGACTTTAAAAATAAGCTGAATGTTTTGGTAAGCCAGTTTTTGTGGTTAGATTTTTCTTCTTATAGGAGGGGAACAGGCTAATAGACACACGCGCACACTCCCCGTGTGGTTTCCGGGTCCCCATATGTTGGGGGTTGGGGTTAGACTCACTGTCCCCTAACAAGCACATCGAACAGTGTTTCATACAAAGGTTGTACTGCATCTACCTGAGCTTCGAAGGTAGCTCTGTCAACTCTTATGATATGCTTTTGGGGATACAATGGGTCTGCTTTTGTTCTCTCCACAAAGGGAGCTCTAGAACCAACACGGGGACGAGAAGATATAAGCTTGTTCGGGTTATCTCTGTTCTGGCAATCTCTGTTCTGGCAATCTCTGTTCTGGCAACCTTCACTAAAGAATTACACAGTGATTCTACTAAAATTAATCTGCGTCTAATTTGTATCATATCATCATCCAGTTATGCCATTACATATCACATAGAGCTCCCATTTTATTTTGTTCATTTGTTTCAGTATCATAGACACTGTGTACCTTTTGCCTCAACTTCCTGCTTAGGGTTTCTGTTGGATATCCTCACTTCTTCCCTCCATTTGTTTCCCATTTAAGTGCCTGTTTAGTGATTCTTGGTTTGCGTCCTTTCGGGATGTGCCCTGGATGTTCTAATCTTCTTGATCCCCGTGGTTGTCCAGACATTTCTCTTCTTTCTTTGCTTTTAAAAAAATTAATTTTTGTTGAAGGTTCTTTAGTTTCCTTAAGTATTCTGGTATATATATATATATATATATATACTGTTTTGATGTGAATCCAGGCATAAATTTGAAATAAAATAGGTACCCAACATGATTGCAAATTAGGGAAAGAAGCTGGTCATTCCACTTAGTAAACTAAGAGTTATATGTGAAATCCTTATCATTTCTCCGCTCCGCTGCAGCATCTTCCCTTGATATTTTTAATTACATATCGGAATATTTTGCCGCCTGTCTAAAATCACGACACTTTATATTTTGTGTGTGTTTCTCCAGACTGCAAAAGAAAGTAGATTGATAGAATTAGAGGAACAGAATAAGAGGATACACAGCCAGCTGTCTGAATATGAGAATCAGCTTGCGGAATTGGTAAGCTCTTACGTAGATTTGTAAAGAATTCATGTACAAATGGGGAACCACCATGGTGTAGTGGTTAGATGCTTTCATGTGGATCTGAAAGTTGCAATTTCAAATCTGAACAGAGCTGAACATTTTTTTCCTGTTTTTTTTTTTTTTTTTTTTTTTTTTTTTTTTAGAAATCTTCTTCTTCTTCGCAGTCACCAGCTGTAAACTCTGGCGCAAAGTTCTGGTTGTTCGTCCACTTCTGGACTGCAGTCCTGTTCCAGAACCTGAGTGATGTGTGTGCATCTGTTTGATACATCTACTCATTTGTGTGCAGACTATTGATTTCTTGCCTCTCAGGCAGATGCACTCAGACTCTTACGACATGCTTTTGGGTAGTTTTCCCTATAATAGGGCCTAGGAACCCACACAGGGGATTGTCAGAAAGGACCTTGGCTACCTGGTTGACCAGACCTTGAATGGGTGCCAGGTAAAATCCGGAGAAGTCAAGGCAACCGGCATGATGTTGACTACATAACCCACAGATTGATCTTTAAACTATAGGTCTAGTACTGTATACCCAGTGTGTCCAAAGGCATGGAAAAAAAGGTCCTTTATGTGTGCATCTGTGGCTGCGGATGAGTCTTGTCCTGCTAAGTCCTACAATTATACAAAGAATAGTGAGACTGCAACCTACAAAGCAGTCTGTAGAGACTGCTAAGCAATGCTAGCATGATTCTGAGGATTCCAATTTCTGCAGAAAACCCTACATGCAAAATCAAACCTATCACAAATATAAGATCTTTGGAAAAAAAAAACACCCCAAAAAACGTTAGCTCCAGGTAATTATTAAAAAAATTAGCCAGCCAAGCTTAAGTGACACACAATGTTATTGTTTTCATTTGCACAAGTATATTTGTGCGATTGTTTCACTTCCAGATAATAATAATAATAATAAAAATGTTGGCATATCATCTTATTTGTTGTTATTTTGTAAATTTTCTTACTGTCACTAATGATCCTGAAGTTTCACTAATGCTTGGGTCAAATACAGGTCCCGTAGCTGCCCTTGAAAGTTTGAGAAACCTTGGAACGGTAACTTGGGCCTTCAGGGTCTTAAAATATCCACAAATAAATGTAATTCTTAACGGCTGCAAGTTAACTAAGAGGTGTAGATTCTGTCTATATTTTAGAAAGATCTGGCTCCGAAGTTTCAGATAATACACAGGGGACATGTTTCTCTTCTGGCTGATCATGAGATAATGGATTGATTGCATAGCTTTCTCACATATGAGCTAAAGTATTGGACACTTTATGCACATGTTTAAATAAGACTGAATAGGTCTTTAGAAAACCAACAACCCACAAAAGAATTGTTTTATGTTTTGTTTGTTTGTTTAAACACATTTGAACTCTCACTGACACTACATAGTTTATGCGCTATGCTAAGATTCTTCTTATGAGATGTGTGAGAAGAGATAAGTAACCTGCATGTGTGCAGTAGAGGTCATTCTTTCTAAATCAAATAAAACTTGAAATGTTCAGAAAATTCTGGGACATCATTATCATCATCACCATCTTGTAGTTGGTCCTTTACAGAACATCGCTGCCATCACAGCTTGCCTGAAAGAAATCTTACCAATTCTCTGACTTTGGTGCACTTTCCTGCCCCAGATTCTCTTACATCCTGTGCCCATCTTCATGGTGGTAAGCCCCTACCCCTGTTACCTGGTACCATGTTCCCACTTCTGTTCTTTCAATTCAGCCGTGACGTTTAATATGGCCAAAGTATTTCAGTTTCCGAGACAAGATGCTGTTTATAAACCAATATTTCTTGATCGGATCCTTTTAGGATGTGAATATTTCTTCTTTTCTTGGTCCATGATATTCTGAGAATCATTCTATAACATTACAGCTGAAAAGCCCCTATTTGCTTCCTTGTGGCTGCTTGTCATTTATTTCACTTGCTTATCATTGACTCCTCATTAAAAGCAGTGTATTAAGTGCATCATTCATATAATATGTTGGCTTTATTGTTGGTGATATCTTTTCAGAAATCACAGAATGAACAACTGAAACACATTGAAGAAGAAAATGAAAGACTGAAGCAAGTTAACTATCAGTCATTATCCAGTTCAGCCGCCTCAGACGTGAGTTTATGTGTAAGATGTTTGTTCAATGCAGGTATAAATCTGGTTTTCTCTCATAACTATATGTTGTATTGTCTGCAACACACATACAGTCTGCTGCTTCTGCATATTTTGTTGTTAGTAGTATACAAGATGTTCTGTCTTTTCATCTCTGTATAACTTTGTCCAACTACATGACTGAACATATTCTTATGAAATATCTTTCATCATCATCAGTTCTCTGGTGCCTGGTGGCACATGAGGCTTCAGAGAGGATTTTCTATGCTTTCCTGTCCTGTGCAATCTTCGGTGCAGTTTTCCATGTCAGAGATGCCGCATTCAGGTCACTCTCCATCGTTCATCTCCATGTTGTTTGGAGAATTTGTTGTTTGTTGTTTATGAAATATCTTTGATATGTCTTTAATCTGTTTGTTGTATACATGATTTTCTGTCTTTTCATCTCTGTATATTTGTCCAACTACATGACTGAACATATTCTTTTGAAACAAATATCTTTTGATCCATCTGTAATCTGTTTGTTGTATACATGATGTTCAGTCTTTTCATTTCTATGTCTAATTTTATGACTAAACACATTCTTGTGAAATATCTCTGATCCATCTGTTTGTGGGGCTTTTGTATTTCATTTGGGGGGGGGGGGGGTGCACTGGGATGCCCTAGGGAGGGCGGTAGCTTGGAGTGCAAGTTAGGGGCATTGAAGAAAAATAAAGCATCTGTTGATAAATTGAATAATTACAGGAAAGGACATGAACATTTTGATGAACTATTCATGCCTGTTTCAGTATTGTGACGCAGATTAAATTTGTAGTAATTTTTTTTGTTGTGTGCTTTACAAAATAAATTTATAAGTTATAACTAATCAGGTTAATCCTTCTCATTAACATGACCTCAAATGTCATTCTTGGTTATTGTTTTCTTCTTCTTCTTCATGTTCACCAGCTGTAAACTGGCGGAAAGTTCTGGTTGTTCGTCCACTTCTGGACTGCAGTCCTGTTTCAGAACCAGAGTGTTGTGTTTTACAGATCTGACATTTGTATGCAGATTGCTTGTTCCCTGCCTCTCAAGCAGATGTACTCTGACTTTGAAGGAAGCTCCCAATTAGTAGACTGTTATGACATGCTTTTGGGTAGGCAGTGGGTCTATTCTTGTTTCCCCTATAACAGGGCCCCGTCTCCCACACTGAGAGGTTTTTGTTTTAATATGAATTTTCCTATACTTTTCCACAACACATGGAAGGATGGGTTGAGCAGGAAATTATGCAAGCAGAAGTTACTCACACTATGTATTCTTGGATAAGAGTATTTACTGTACTAACGATTGGCTAGTTTCTTATTTTCCATTACCAAATGTTGTCAGTAAATTTGTCACTGCATCCTTCTGTTTGACACACGGCAAATTTGTTAGGAAAGGGGGATGGGGATAAATACCTTGATGGCTTGGCCATAGCTGTGGCATAAGAACAGTATAAGAGCTCTGACTTGATCCATGATACTGCTGATCGTGCGCGATGGTATGTCAGTATCGCCTGTTTTTATCAACACAGCACATGATGATGATTATGATTTTTCTCCGGGCGCGGGGCGTTGAGCAAATTTATTTTAATTGAAAAAGGGGGTGGTGGTGAAAACAGTTTGGGAAACACTGCTCTAGAGTTATGAGTATACGGGAGAATAAGGGGTATGTTATGGAAAACAAAACGCTAATATCAAAATTAGAAGCTAGGAAGAGTCTAGGAATGGAAAGAACTTGGAGGCCCCCCACCGCTCATTCTGTGATCCCACCACTGTGCGACTGCCAGAGATTAAAGGCAAATTCTGACGTATTTTTACTTCATAATGGCTTAAAAAACCCAAAAAACCAGCCATTTATTTACAGTAAGGCTCTCCACATATGAAATTAGATAGCTGAGCCAAGCTACAAACAAAACCAAGAGTGATTGTGTCGGAAATGAGATTAGAAGAACTGTTGGAGCAGTAATCACCATTAACTAAATTCATTGAGAAACAAAGACTGGAATGGTTCGGCCACCTTATGAGAATGAATTTAATGATGCTGACAGCGAGAGCATACAACATGGAAATGAACACATCAGTTCTAGAGGAAAACCCTAGAAAAAGATGGATTAACTTTGACAGCTTCAGACTTGACAACATAACACCACACCAGACAACCAAGTACGCCCTAACTCAGCTTTCTTTCATCTGGCAAACTGAGACGTCTAGTGGCACAAAGCAAAGACTCATAAAAGAAGAATCTCCCAAATGCTGTTTTTTTTTTTTTTTAAAGTAAATGTAATCTTATACGGACCTCCTAAATATGCGCAGGCTCAAACAGACCCAATGCCATTAAGCTTTGCAGAGACTGACCAGTACAGCAGTGCAGGTTTAACTGCTTCGCAGCGATTAGTAACTGACAGTTTTGTTGGATTAGCAGACTCTCAGAGTGAAAGAATTAAAGAAGGCAGCGGCAGAAAGAGCACACTCAGGTAGCTTCAGAGCAGAGATAGATGCATTGAAAACTGCAGCAGAAGAACGGGTTCTTATTGGTTTCTTGAATCACCTCTTTGTTCTTTTCTCTATTATCCATTGTTGCTTTCAAGCTACCGTGAAACTTACCGGTGATATGATTCTGTTTAAACCTGTCATACAGGATAATGCTGAGAGATATACACAGTTGGAACAGGATAACATCAGATTGAAGGCGGAGGTGGACAATTTCCGTGGCGTTGTGACTGAAACTGTAAGTATTTTGGAATTGTCTGTTCAGTGCAACATTCCTTCTTTTCTCAATATCTGCTTTGTGCGGCTAGGTGTCTCAGTTTAGCGATTGATAGGTAGCTGAGTGAACCACTCTTGGCTTGTTGTGATGTTTCACAGTCTTAAGCTGGGAGTGACTCTTTCGGTATATATATATATATATGAAAAAACAAATGTTTTAATTGTTGTTTAACATTTGAGTTATGATATGAGCTATGGTTTTCATGCACAGTATTGTTGCCCGATAGATTAACTTGTGTCCCTGAAATTAGCTAGTAGTTTCAGTTACCTTGTTAACATATTTCAGCTGATTATTTTTGCAGTTATCATAAGGTGCTAAAATATTTAACTCGCTAAATATAAATAATTTTTTAGAATAATGTTATACATTTTAACTTATGAAAGTGGTAGATAAAAAAAAAAAAAGCACAAAAAGCATTCCCTGTATTTTGTACCTCTACTTTCCCACTTTAATTTCTCCTTTTAAAGTCTTCATTTTCTCCCAATCCCTCCTTTCTCGCTGTAATTTTTCCTGCCTCTGATCTTCTTCTTTTTCTTCTTCTCTAGTCCTGTCCTGCCATTCAGCATCAGGTTTTGAAGAAGCATCCTGTGCAAGCCTTGTTATATGCTACATAGATGCTGGTATTTACGGCCGGTGATATTCCATCTATCCCTCGCTTGCGTGGTCGATCTCTAGTAAGTAAAGTAAAAGTAAAGGACCCTTTTCCACGCCTTTAGGCATATAGGGCATATAGGACTAGACCTATATTTTATAGATCAACGGCACAAGATGGGTGATGTGGTCAGCATCACGCCGGCCGCCTCTACTTCCTGGGACTGGACCCGGTACCCACTCAAGGTTGGGTCGACCTGGGAGCGAAGGTAATTTTTTGAAGAAAAGCCCGGCTCCGCCAGGGAGCGAACCCACGACCTTCCGATTGGCGGCGCGCGTCTAGCCGCTCTGCCACGGCGACTCCCTCGACCTCTAGTATGCTTCTGTTATGTCTAAGTGAGAGGACTTCTCTGTGGTACACTATCTTGTGGAAGTCTTGGTACATGTCAAAACCACTTGATTTTTGTCTCATGATGTAGTTTAGTACTGGTTCTATCCTATATTTGTTCCTGATACAGTCATTTCTAATCCTGTCTCTTGTAGTTATATTTATTATTCGTTGAATTTCATTTCTGCTGTTTTGATTTTTCTTCTTCTATTTGTTCCTGATACAGTCATTTCTAATCCTGTCTCTTATAGTTACATTTATTATTCGTTGAGTTTCATTTAATTTCTGCTGTTTTAATTTGTTTCTTCTTTTGTTGATAATGTCCAATATTGGCACTGGTGACACGTTGTTAAAAATACTGTATTAAATAGTGCTTTTTTGGTTTCAGTTATAACTAGTTTCTTCTGCAAAATTGGTAACACTTGTCCAATGATTTGATTTGCTTTATTACATCTGTGTTCTATCTATCTCTGCTACAATTCTGATCTAGAAATGTTAATCTGCTCTGGTGGGATTTTATTTTTAAGTTGCACAGTATGATTTTGGCTTTTTTCTTTTATTATGAATTCCTTTATTTCTGTTTTTAATTTCAGGAAAATAAACTGCGTCAGCTCGAGAAAAGTATAGATGCCGAAGAGAAAAAATGGCAGGAAAAATTAAAGCAGGCACAGTCGCAGTCAAAATCGGTCAGTTCAAACATAGATAGCGTCTCTATAATCTTGCCATCTAATATTGAATGCTTATTTCCTCTGTGGCTAAGTCGATGCGAACGCTTCGCTTCGAAATGCCGGGATGCTGGGTTCGATCCCAGTTGCGGGCAATGAGCCTTGCGTTGGTTTCGACAGTGGTATCAAGAAAGCCGACCGTCCAGAAAGCAATGGCAAACTACTGGACGTAAATTTGCCAAGAGAAACCACACAACAGCCAGGGGCTGTTAGGGTTGGTTCTGCAACGTCCTGTAAGGGATACGCAACTAACTTTATTTCCTCTGTGTGGGTTCTGGGGCTCTCTTGTGGGGGAAAACAAGAATAGACTTGCTGCGTCCCTATCAAGCATGTCAAAAGAGTCAACTTATTGGGAACTTCCTTCGAAGTCAGAGTACATCTGTAAAATGGATGTGCACACAACACTAGGGTCCTGGAATAAGACTAAAGTCCATTCCATTAGTGGATAAACAACCCCAGAACTTTCCGCCAGAGTTTACAACCGGTGAACATGAAAAAAGAAAAGAAAACCCCTTCACATATTGCAGTAACTTACAGAGGATGTGATGTTTGGCCCACATAAATGTGCAGAAAGAGAATAATTTCAGCAATTTTTTCTATGGGAGCTGCGATCGTGTAATGACAGGATGATCACATCTGGCACAAATGTCCTGGGTCGCATCAAGAGTTTTTCCCCTCCAAAATGCTGTGAAGCAAAGGCGGTTGGCGTGATGTTAACCATATCACCCACAGAGTGCTGATTTATCCCCAAAAATATGAGTCTACAGTCACATACCCGATGTGCCTCTGGCATAAAAAGAGTACTCAACTTTTATCTGCTTTCGCCATTCAGAAATTCTCCCCCCCCCCCACATTGTACTACATCTGTTAGGACAAGCTGTCCTTCATTTCTTGAAGTTAATAATGAACCTTTGCTTCTCTCCCCCCCCCCCCCCCCCCCCCCCCCCCACCACCACATTGTGCTAAATCTGTTAGGGCAAGCTGTCCTTCATTTCTTGAAGTTAATAATGAACCTTCCCCCCACTCCCCCACTCTTCTCTCCCCCCCCCCCCCCCCCCCCCCCCCCCCACCCCCCCCACATTGTACTACATCTGTTAGGGCAAGCTGTCCTTCATTTCTTGAAGTTAATAATGAACCTTTGGCACCCCCTTTTCCCACAATGCACTACATGAGAAAAGACAAGAAACCTTTACATCTCTTGTGGATAAATTACACTTTGGCTGCAATTGCATTTCCATTACATCAGTAAAGGCAAGCAACCTTTCTTTCTTAGGGATAAAAAAAACACAATCTCGCCTCCCCTTCACACTGCACTACATCGGAAGGGGCGTGCATCCTGCAGCGTTTATTTCGCTTGGGGGGAGGGGGGGTTGAAAGATAGCTGTCTTTACTGCATTTATATACACCAAATTTAGAGTGATGATTTAGAGCCACATGGCTAGTGCAGTCTCTAAATACGAGCAGGTTAGAAATAATGGAATCTGGGTTTCTTGCATGGGAGCCCAGTGTACTAGACACTCGGCCAGAAACTCCTCATCTCTTGGTGGTAAATCATAATTCCTTCCTTCAACTGCACATGCACTGAATCGGTAAAGACAAGCAGCCTTTCGCTTCTCTTGAGGGTAAACCTTTGCCCCTCCTGTACACTTCACTATATCGGCAAAGAAAGCATCCTTTTTGTATGTTTATATGTTAGTGTTATATTTTTTTTTTAAACGTGCGCAGGCACACACCTTGCCTGCATGTTGTGCGGCATTAGTAAGGAAAGGTGACCTCCAGAATGTCAACCATTGAAACCTTTGTGGTACAGATACTAGAAGTGGTAGTGCAGCATTGGTAAGGAAAGGTGACCTCCAGAATGTCAACCATTGAAACCTTTGTGATACAGATACTAGCAGTGGTAGTGCAGCATTAGTAAGGAAAGGTGACCTCCAGAATGTCAACCATTGAAATCTTGTTGGTACAGACATTAGAAGTGGTAGAAAGGGGTGCTAACGATCCCCCCCCCCCCCCCCCCCCACTCCACCCCAACTCAGCTCAGTGTAAACATTACTTAGTGGTTTCAGATGTTAGGTCCAGGTGCGCTTCATTATATTTGGATTTTGTTGTTGGCACCTTTTCGTCTTTCCAGACGATAGTATTATGCTATAAGGAGGTGTAGAACTACAAATTATGACGGTAGCAAATGTGGCTTGCAAGGCCGGTTCGCGACAAGAAAAGTTTTCCACAGCGGCTGCATGAGAATTCAGGACTATTTTTGTCATTGCATGTTGTTTTTCTTCTCAGATGCTCAGCTCTTAGTCTATCTGCAATCACTTTCTCTTTTGCCTCTGTTCCCCTCCTGATTTTTCCTCTCCAGGCTGTGCGAGCTGTGGCACCCTGTTCCCATGATTTTACCTCAATACCTGTATCATTCATGGCCCACTTTGTTGATGTAACTATGTGGTAATGCACCTGACGAGATACAGCGAAATATGCCAGACAATAAATGGTGCAGCATATCGTTTGTACCCACATTATACCCACTATGGAAAAAATCATGGTTTATATGAACAAATACTTTGTTGTATTTATGCAAACAGGACAGTGGCTCATTACAGAGGATACAAGAGCTGGAGTCTTTGGTATCACAGCAAGAAAGCCAGCTGCAGGAGTACAGGCGTACTTTGTCCCTTACAGTAAGTCATGTGGAAGCTAATTTTTTGGAAGCTTGAGGTTTAGGGAGAGCATTTTTCTGTCGGGGAAGTACCATGTAATCAGCCTCTCAGCCACTTCTAGAATTGTAGAATCTTTGTAGCTGGGCATGTACAGTAAATTAATCTGAGGTGAATTCAGTATTTTATAATGCCCACCAAGTGACATACTCTCCTTTATTAAACAGATTACATTTTGGTTTACGGACCTAAATACCAGATAAACCCTTTCGTCCTGAAAAGCCTAACTGTAGCCATTTACCGTTTGTGCCAAGTCCCCATAGATGCCTATATATTGCCATGCCTGCAGTGACCTGTTCTTGAAGAGCATAGTTCAATTATGTTGGTCTTTTGTGTACCTGCACATTATTTAACAGGACAGGATATGAATATAGCATGGTTGTGAGGTCCTTATGACCCCATTGGCTTTTTGAAAGCCGATTAGAGGTTTAAAAAAAAAAGGATTCCCAGTAAGCCTTAGTGATAGAGGTCAGAGTTCACAGCATGAGTCACCTCATACATCTTGTCTCCCCCCTCCCCATGGAATGTCTTTCATTTAAAGCGTTACTCTGTGCATATTTATTGATTGCCCCTGTGTATATCTTTATATATTTCCAACAAATTTTATTATCAAAATGTAAAGTTTTTAAAAATGTTTTAGTGGTCCGTGTAATATGGTTTTAAAAAAAAAAGGTTCCCCCTAGAAATTACATGTTCAACCTCCAACCCCCCCCCCCCCCCCCCCCCCCCCCCCCCCCCCTTTTTTTTAAAAGTATTCACAGACGAAAGAGTTAAATGGTACATTTTAAGGATGATATGGGGACTGCAGCTGAGCTACCATCAAGTCACTAAATAACTAAACACAAAGTGATAGTTTTTGTTACATTCTGTTCCATTTAGTTGATTAATTCCCAGATAAGAGTGAGATTGGCTGTTTTATAAGAAAGGGACATTTGAGATTTCTTTGTTTGGGAGATGGCATTTATTGTATTGCTTCTTATGGGAAAGTATTGTTTCATATGTTAGATGTTATCGTGTTGTATCATTTTTAAACATGTAAACAATGACCTTCATATTGAGGAGGGCATGAAATGTGTGTTTTAGAAGTGAATAAAGTTAATAAACATATCTGCTTTAGTGATATTCTCTTTATTTTAAAATATTTGAACAATATTCTTTATTAGTGAGAATATCTACCTCAGTAAGTACCTGCTAGGTTAACTCTTTTAGTCCCAGATCTGTGTTTCTTTGACTCCTAAATTTCTTAGTAGCTTCTCAAAGGAATAGTGTATGGGTGTTAGTCTCCGTGTTCACCAGCTATGAACTGTGGCGGAAAGTTCTGGTTGTTCGTGTGAGAAAAATTGTTGTCTTAAGTGTATACAAGTTAATAAAAGTAGATGTTATTAGACCAGAGCTTTCCAAACATTTCATGTTGGTGACACACTTTTTATAGACAAACATAGTTTCGAGATACAGTAATTCAGTCTACTAGCAAACCAGAGGTTCAACTAACCCTTCATAAGAGATACAGACACAAACACAGATTGCATTTGCAGACACATCTTCACACTGCAGCTGACACATTAGTGTTTGGAAAGCTCTGTGTTAGGAGACCCATCACACCCACACCCACCAGTAATGATTTTTAGAACAGCTCCCACATTTCTTGTAAACTATAAACCTTTTCAATTGGCTTTCTGTGCTTACAAGGTTAACCATTATTTTATATCTTAAAAATAATATGTGCCAGCTTTATAAATTTTATCGGTCAACCTCGTAAACAAGAGGAGAAAATAGCATCACCTGTTTTTAAAATAATTTTTTAATCATCATCATAATGAATAAGCGGCATTCATTGTGATTGTATTTTCTAAGTTCATCTGTCTTCTTCTTCTGTTCGCTTTTTGATTTACACCGACAGACAAGTTATTGACCTGTCTAATAAGCAGTGTGGTTTTACAGGCTCTGTTATATTTTGCATATTGGAATTAAACTGGATTGTATGTACCCTTCCTTCAACCATTTTATTTATCTCCTGAACCTTCATGTATCCAAATACCCAAAGCTGCATACCTTAATCCACCATTTCAGGAAGATAGATTAAAAGGGTTAGAACTCAAGGTGGACGCTGCAGAGAGTGTGTGGAGGCAGAAACTGGAGGCATCACAGTCCCAGCTGACAGAGGTATTATCTTTTGTACATTCTTCTTTATATGTTTGTAGATACTGTCATTGGTGGTGTACTGGAGAGGTGGGTAGTGTAAATACTGTCATTGGTGGTGTACTGGAGAGGTGGGTAGTGTAGATACTGTCATTGGTGGTGTACTGGAGAGGTGGGTAGTGTAGACACTGTCATTGGTGGTGTACTGGAGAGGTGGGTAGTGAAGATACTGTCATTGGTGGTGTACTGGAGAGGTGGGTAGTGTAGATACTGTCATTGGTGGTGTACTGGAGAGGTGGGTAGTGTAGATACTGTCATTGGTGGTGTACTGGAGAGGTGGGTAGTGTAGATACTGTCATTGGTGGTGTACTGGAGAGGTGGGTAGTGTAGATACTGTCATTGGTGGTGTACTGGAGAGGTGGGTAGTGTAGATACTGTCATTGGTGGTGTACTGGAGAGGTGGGTAGTGTAGATACTGTCATTGGTGGTGTACTGGAGAGGTGGGTAGTGTAGATACTGTCATTGGTGGTGTACTGGAGAGGTGGGTAGTGTAGATACTGTCATTGGTGGTGTACTGGAGAGGTGGGTAGTGTAGATACTGTCATTGGTGGTGTACTGGAGAGGTGGGTAGTGTAGATACTGTCATTGGTGGTGTACTGGAGAGGTGGGTAGTGTGTAAGAAGAATGGGTTCGGTTTGTTAAAAGTTTTTATTTTCTTGAAGAAAAGTGGGCAGTTCTCGGGTGGGGGGGGGGGGGGGCCTAGAAGAGGTGAATGGTTTTTTTTAAACTGTTAATATGAATGATGGGGGGAAGCTTTCCTGGAAGATGGGTGGAAGGTTTGCTTGAAGAAGAATAACAGATAGGTTGTAGAAGATAGATTAGTTTGTTAGATGGATTTGTTATTTACTAGTTGATGCTTGGGTGGTTTGCTAAAAGATGGATGGACGGTTTGGTAGAAAATGGATGTGTGTGTGGTTTACTAGAAGATGGACACACATTTTGCTTGAAGATTATTGGATGGGTTACTAAAAGATAGATGGATGCTTTGCTAAAATATGGATGGATGGTTTGCTAAAAGATGGATGTGTGGGTGGTTAGAAAATGGATCGATGGTTTGTTAAAAAAATTTGTAGTTAAACTTTCTGTTCCTGACAGTTGTCTTAGCTTGATCATTTTAAGGTTTTCGTCCATTACATTTATTACTTCAAAGCAACAAATCATTTTGTTATGAAGGTATAATTGTCTAGAATATAAACAGTTTAAAAAATTAACAGAAAAACCTTACTAGAGGGACAAGTTGAAGACAAACAGACAAGAGGCAGATAGCAATATAAGTGGGAGGGCAATATCAAGAGACGGATAAACAGCTGTCTGAGAGAGTAAACATTCAGGACAAAAGACAGCTTGTTGGAGATCTAATAATGCCTACCTTGTTGTGGACACGGATCCTGGTTGCTTGATGAGAAAGAGACAAACTGTTGTTTGGTCATGTATGATGGAAAGACAGGTGTTGAAGAATATAGACCTGACAGGAAATACCGGCAGTAGATGAGATGGAGGTAGAGAAACTTGATGCAGGATGTCCTAAGAGAGTGGCATGAACACATATGTGTGTCCTGTTGACGTCTTTAAATAAATCTCTTAGGAGAATCCTGCACGTGTTTTGGTCAAACAAGATATTAAAGAACTTAGGTGAGAAACATAATGTTCATCTCTGGCAAATGTTATCAAAGGAAGAAGATGGAGATGGCTTGGACATTTTTGCATACATAATTAACATAGAGACAATGTATTGATCGTCACTCATAGAAAGAAGTAGAAAGAGGAAGAAGATGGAGATGGCTTGGACATGTTTGCAGAATGGTCAGCGACACTGTGGTGGCAGGGACAGCAATTGGAAAAAAGAAAGTGGTGATATTCTAACATCTCACACAATATTCATTCCCACCCTATGCTATCAGTGGCAGACGGGGTCACTCACAACAAACTGTAAAATAAAATTAGTAACCATGGAAATGAGGTGTCTGAGAGACTGTAGGAGTGACCAGAAGAGATAAAATCCGGAACGATGTCAAACGAGATAAAGTCGGCACAGAACCAATTCTAAATTACATACAAAGACAGCAAATCAAATGGTTTGCTCACTTGGAGAGAATGCTTTCTGATGCTATACCATACAAGGTATATATATACTAAAAGAGGAGAGGACAAAGAGCAAAAGGTAGACCAAGAATAAGATGGGATGATAACATCAAAGAAGCTCTACAGCACCATGATGTGTCTATGGTTGAAGCAGCCAGAAGAGCACAAAACCGGACCTTATATCTCCCCCCACACCTGAAGGGGTAAAAGGTAACGTAAAGAAGAAGAACAAAAAGATGACCTATGGAAGCTTGGAGAAGGACAGTAGGAAGCGATATGGAGTGAAAACTGACATGGGGTAACATGTGTAGAAAAGCAGTGGACAGGCAGTTGGGATTACTTGTGAATACCTTATGTGTCAGCAGCGATATGAAGAAGTTATACATTATCTCTAATCTGTGTGCTTTTGTCTCTGCTTGTTTTTAAATATGATCCAAACCTGCATGTGTTTCTGCTTTTCTTAGACCAAACGTGCATTGTCTATACTGAGACAAGAAATACAGACTACTCAAGGCAGTAGGGAAGTAAGTGCTGTTTTTGTTAACTCTTTCTTCAAACTGACTACAACAAGATGAGTGTTCTATCCATCAAAAACTTGAAATCTACAAGTTTTTAAAAAGTACTTCAAATGACTCAGGGACCATTTCACAAGTTATCAATACTATGCACATTTGTTTGTGCTCAACAGTACGTATTTTCTTGAATTCCTGTGCATTTTTTGTATATCACTATGGAGTGATCAGAATTCTACAGTTGATAATTTCCTAGAAGAAAAAACTGTAAGATAGGCTCCTTTTGCATTTTCCCTATTAAAAAAAAACAGTGGCACATCATGTTGTAATTTACAGTTAATCTGTGGTATTTGCGCCTTTCAACTTAACACAGCCGGTTTCTGTAAAATCATTGTTTTATTTAATTCTGGTTAAGGAGCAGTATTTTTCCACCCAAGAATAATGTCCTGAAACCCACACAGGGAAGTAAGCTATTCTATTCCTTGACGTAAATCTTAATTTTCTCTAGAAGTAAGAACAGCTGTTAAAGATTCAATAGTAAATGAAACACATCTTACAAGTGTAGGATACTGGACAGGAAGTGTGCTCTCCTGTTGCCACACATAATTTGCCAGATTTAATGCTGCAGATATGCACTGTCTGTGTCTCAGAAAAAGAATTTACTACATCTAACGTATATATGTTACCCTCAACCAACCACATAGAATGTGCCAGAGTGCAGTATGCATCGCCCTCCACACACCATGTAGAATTTACCAGATTTCCTGTTTTGAGTGCAAATCGCCTTCTACTCACCTTGTAGAGAGTACTAGATTTCATGTTTTCTGTGTACTTCACGCTTCATTCCACCATGTGCATTTTACCAGATTTCATGTTTTCAGTGTTCATCAGCTTGCTCCACACACCATGTAGATTTTATGAGATTTCATGTTTTCAGTGTGCATCACCTTCCTCCACACACCATGTAGATTTTATGAGATTTCATGTTTTCAGTGTGCATCACCCTCCTCCACACACCATGTAGATTTTATGAGATTTCATGTTTTCAGTGTGCATCACCCTCTTCCACACACCATGTAGATTTTATGAGATTTCATGTTTTCAGTGTGCATCACCCTCCTCCACACACCATGTAGATTTTATGAGATTTCATGTTTTCAGTGTGCATCACCCTCCTCCACACACCATGTAGATTTTATGAGATTTCATGTTTTCAGTGTGCATCACCCTCCTCCACACACCATGTAGATTTTATGAGATTTCATGTTCTCAGTGTGCATCACCCTCCTCCACGCACCATGTAGATTTTATGAGATTTCATGTTTTCAGTGTGCATCACCTTCCTCCACACACCATGTAGATTTTATGAGATTTCATGTTTTCAGTGTGCATCACCTTCCTCCACACACCATGTAGATTTTATGAGATTTCATGTTTTCAGTGTGCATCACCCTCCTCCACACACCATGTAGATTTTATGAGATTTCATGTTTCCATTGTGCACTGACTTCCATTTACCGTGTAGACCACATTTAATGTTTTCAATAGCATGTATAAATTTGTTTTTAATTCACCATGAATGATTTACCAGATTTTAGATTGCTAATAGGTTTTTAAAAAATATATATATTTGGAAACATATTTGTGTCTTTACTTTCTGCTACTCCACGAGCATTTATTAGATTTCATGTTGTCAATTTATAGTTTTCCATGAAGCCATCAATTAGGATTTCTACTTCAGATTCCACTCTTCTAGCATACCACCAAAGATTTATCACCTGTCATGTTATAAATTACAGTGTTCTACTCTTCACCTAGGATTTATTTTAGATACTTTATCAATTGTGTTTTGTTTCCTTTTCCCCACCTAGAATTTATTGTCAATTAAGGTATAATTTATATAGTTTCCTCTTGTCATATAGACTTTCCATCTGTATTAATAATTGTTGTGTTTTCCACTCATCTAAGATCTCATGCTATAAATTGTATTTTTCCTAATTGTCACCTAGGATTTATTACCTCATGTTATAAATTGTATTGCTTTCTGCTCATCACCAATGATTTATCACCTCTCAAATCGTATTATTTTCCACTCATTATCAAGGATCTTTACCTTTCATGGTGTAAACTATATTGTTTGCCACTCATCATCCAGGATGTAATACCGCTTATGTTATAAATTGTATTGTTTCTCACTCATCACCCAGGATTTATCAGATTTGGGTTTTGCCTACAACTGTGTTGAAAAAAGTCTCACGACTATAGTTGATGAGGTAACCAAGCAGCCTAACCAATAACCACATTTAATTTTCTCTGCTTTTGTCTGAAGTTGAAATAGAAAATCGGCTCCATTTTGACCTTAGACCCACCCACCACCACCTTTTTTTAAAATGCTTTTTGTGACAGTTTCTTGCATAAATAGAAATAAAATGAAATAGACAATGTAGAAAGTTTGCAATATTATAAATGGTAATTAGGTATCTTTCCAAAATAAATGGTAATGAGGAGATAATCACAGAGTAATTTATAATCAGGGATCATTCAGAATGTTTCGAAGATTTTTTTTCTTTGGTAATTAATCTGATTTAACTGCTGCCCTATCTCTTTTGCACTCTCCTCTCTCTCTCCCCCCCTCTCTCTCTCTCTCTCTCTCTCTTACACACAGATACCCACTCTCTCACACACACACAGATACCCACTCTCTCACACACATTGTCTTACACATGCACAAACTATCTAACCCACACAAATTCACTCTCTTACACACCCTCTCTCTCACACACCCTCTCTCACTCATACCCACACTCTCTCTATCTCTCTCTCTCACACACACACAGTCTTGCACATGCACACACTATCTTTCACATACACAAATTCACTCTCTCACACCCACTCTCTCTCTCTCTCTCTCTCTCTCTCTCTCTCTCTCTCTCTCTCTCTCTCTCTCTCTCTCTCTCTCTCTCTCTCTCTCACACACACTTACTCTGTATACTGACAGTTGCTAATACATAGTTTATTCTATAGACAATTTAATTGTGAATTGTCCCCCTGTAAAGTTTGTACACATTAACCTCAAGTACAGATAAAGCTACATTCCACTGTTCTCTTCTTTGTTGATGTGGCTGATCACCTTTTTCTGCATTGTCCCCATTGTCAAACAGGCGGTTGACACAGTATTATGGTTTAGATCCTTTAAACGTTTGCCAGATCTTTCTTCAATATTTTTTTTTCTTTCCTCCAGTCTTCACCTTTCTCTATCACTCTCCCTTTCTCTTTATAAAGCATTAAAAATATTTTACCACAGACCTTTCTGTAGATAGTGGAGTTATGTAACACTACTCTTCCCCTTTTTTTCTTTTTTAACAAAGTTCCGTTAGAGGATTTGACTTTGATAATTAACGTTTCTGATAATTCCTTTATAAAATTATGTAAGTTGTTAAATGTGAACCGACCTAAAATTGATATTATGTAACAAAACAAGAAGCTGTCCTTGAGCTGTTATCCTTCCATTGCATGACACTACTATAGCGGGTGCCACAGTGGCTTAGTGTCTAGATCAAGGGGCGGGAACACTTTGTTTTGTTCTGCATGTCAAATTTAGAGTTGCCAACCTGGTCACGGGCCATATAGAAAATATCAATTATAGAAGTAAAATTTAGATTTTCTTGTAACACGTGGTTTTTGTGGGATAATCTGTCTGGCCAGACACACTCACTCACTGGAGCTCTTCTGTTTATTCCTCAATGTCTTTTCAGGCTGGTTATTTTCATAAATTATTTGGGGGGGGGGGGGGGGGGGGGGGGGAGAGAGAAGTCGTGGATTGATAGATGGTGAGCAATGAGAGAGTGGTAAATAGAGTTAGGGACTGATAAACATATATTATCAGTAAATTACAAATAGGTAACTTACAGTTTTAATCAGAAGTGTGTGTTTAAGCATCCTGCAAGCGTACGTTTTTGTGTTCTGCTATTTAATGAGCTCAACGGCCTGATTCTATAGTCATTTAGCAGCACTAACCTCGCAGGATGTAAAAATTGCCCGCCAGGCCAGTTTTGGCCCTTGGGCCACAGTTTGCCCATCCCTGGTCTAGATGCTCACCTGCCAGCTAGGAGATCTTGGGTTCTAATCTGCAAGTCAGTTTAAAAAAATTACGAAAACTAATTGTGGATCAATCCCAGGTGGACCCGGCCTGATTGGGTACCAGGTATTCTCCAAGGAATTGAAGGTGGCCAGTGTGATGTTGACCACATTAGCTATCAGTTGCCACTTGGTCTGTAAAAAATATGTGTCTCTTCTTCTTCTTCTTCTTCTTCTTCTTCACGTTCAACAGCTGTTAGCTCTGTCAGGAAATTCTGGTTGTTTGTCCACTTCTGGACTCTTGTCCTGTTTCAGAACCTGCATGTTGCGTGCACATCCATTTTACAGATCTGACTGATTTGCATGCAGACTGTTGGTTCTATGCCTTTCAGGCAGATGCACTCTGACTTCATAGAAAGCTCCTAGTCAGTCGACTCTTACACCATGCTTTTGGTTAGGCAGGGGGTCTCCTTGTTTGTCCCACAATGGGACCCCGGAACCCACACAGGGAAAATAGGCGTCTAGCATCATATACCTGGTGCAAGCCACTGGATGCAGAAGTTTCCTTTACTGACTGACTCTTTGTGGTTCCACTTATTTAAATGGGTTGATTGTACAAACTGGCAAGTGTTTTTCAATAAGACAACACATTTATTGTAATTGAGGGATGGTCTTTTATTTTCTTGCTGATTTTAGATGTTGCACTTTTTTATTTTGCTTTTGTTTCATTTTTTTCATTATTTTAAAATTATTATATATTATTTATTTGTTATACATTATATTTATTATTTCTTTATTATTTTGTTTCTTTCTTTAAAACTGTGTATACATATAATTCCCCATTTATTTTAGAAATTATGCTTCAGGTAATAATATATTAATGAGCTAATTTCTTCACTTTCCCTTATTACATTAACAGCCCTTTGATAACCATG